ATAGCACTAGGGCCATAGACCACGCACCCAGAGCAATGGGCGGAACCGTTAACAAACGATAGTCAACGCCAATAAAAAAAATTTGCAACGTTAACAATTAATATTGATCTTAGAGTACAAGCTGGTGTGGGTAAAACACACACTGTACAATGAGAATCAAATGAAGCTGTCAACAGAGTGTATGTATGTAACCGTAATTATCACACGGACCCCAACTCTCATCAAACACACTATGTACGTCTCCTGTATACTTATGTATGGAAATTTTAGTAGCTTGCTGTGTATAGTGAGTGCTGATGTAGAAGATTCTCTAAGTCAATAATAGTCTACATCGAGGCCTTTACTCCGGCTGACACCCCAGATTTCACTGCTCCCCTCACGGCCTTGTTCTTGGCGGCCCCAGTGACTGCCTCTTCTGTCGCTCTATTGAGACTACCGCCAGACTGTCTGTAGTACCGATGAACCTGGGTGGTAGGGGGGGAGGAGGAAGTGCAGTTTTCTAGCTGTGCTCTAGGTATATACACAGCAGGGCAAAGTAGGCTCTGCTAAACAACACTGTTCATAGCACATAGCACAGTTTTCTAGCTGCACACAGAAAACAAGCTATGCACTGATAAAGGATGAGGGGGAATCCCCACTGGTTGCTCTAAACCTGTGTTATATATAATATACTGACCAGGATAATTAGGAGTATAGCTAGAGGGACAGCTATTATCCACAGGAGGCCCATAATGATGAACATGGCGCCTGCCGCCTTTTGGTCCTCGTCCGGTCCAAACAGCTTTGCTCCGTTGAAGAATCCACTATGCACATCATAAAGACATTAATATACAGAGAGTGGAGAGTGAAATAGAACGAGATGTAGTAATAGGAGCAGCAGCGGGATAAGGTGAGAGAGGAATGTAGAAAGCAAATAAATGAGGACAGCAAGTCGAAGAAGAAACCGAAATAGGAATGGGGACAAGGCGAGATAGCAATGAACAGCGAGATCAAGATAAGGAGAAGCACACAACAGTTCTTGGCTGACAATGTTTGCATTAAAAGTTGCTCTCAATGATTTGCGAAGGTTTGTGTCACCAAAGGTTTCACTCACCAGGCCCCGAGGTTGGGCGCTCCGATGCCATTGAGAGTGTAGCTGAGTACTTGGAACAACATCACGAAGAAGAACCACATGTAGGCCAGAGAACTGTCTTTCCTGCGCAAACAAGAAAGAGAGAGAAGGGGTGGACCGTAATATCTTTGTCTATCATATCGATACATTTGAAGTTGCAGGCAAGTTTGACTCACGTATGTAAGCAAGTTTTATCAGTGTATATACCATGGGCTTCAGTTGATGAAAATGCTATAACAGGTGACATTGTCTATACAATTATACACACGCGCATTACGGGGAACAAAAATTACTGGAATCAAAGAATATCTACTGACATTTTGTGTGGAATAGCATTACACAATATTATATGTAATACTAAGTGTTAAGTTTGACTTGTTGGGAAACAGCCACCAAAGCGAACTTCTTCAGTAAAGTACTGTATGATATGTACTATATACCTGTAGGCGTGGTAGACAGGCAGAAACCAGCAGAACAGAGTTCCTGGTACAAAGAGGACGAGGTAGAGGATGGACACGCCCATTGTCGTGAGATACTCGTTTCTGTTGCCGTCACTGGAAACGGCCGCTCCGACTATCGAGATAAACACGTTCAACACTAGCATCACCCAGGTGACTGGAGAGAGAGGGAGGAGGGGGAGGGGGGAGACGGATGATATGGGGAAGAAAGGGAGAGGGGTGAGTATAGGCCAGCATGTAGTATATACACAGCATGACCTTGAAGTATGGGTATAATAGGTCCACGGAACACATATATACATATAAATCCATGGATGATGCAATCAATGTGGAGAGGGTCAAAATCCATGGTGGACTATAGCTGTCAAAGTCACATGTCTTCTCGTTAGCTCCAAAAGTCTGCACACTCATGCAGTCACATGACAAACTGTCACTCACACATGTACCCAAGCTCATTAGTGGTTGGAAGGCAATGGGAAACCAACTACACATCAAGAAACTTGAAACTTGAAAGTCTTCAGCTCCGTAATGCAAGTTACACCATGCGCCATGACGCCAAAACCCTACACACATAATGTTTAACCATAGGTTCTAACCTATTCTGGTTTAACGACAAAGTTAAAAAAATTGGATTGTTTTCACTCACATATCATGAGACCGAGAAGTGCCCACATCTTCCATCGCTCAGGGGGCGGGACCTCGACGTTGATATTGATGTACAAACAGGGTTTGAGGGGGGAGGGGCAGAAGGCGGGGAAGGGAGGGAAGTTGTTTTCCCGTAAAATTGGACCGAGTCTCTCCAAGTTCTTCTCCCTCGCCTGGAGATCTCTCTCCCTCTGGGCAATCTCCTGAGGCAGGGGAAAAGTAACAATAATGTCAGTGAGGAGAAGAGAGAGGGGAGATTGGTCCAATGAAAAAGTGGTCTCGGAGACTACTATAATTTTCGAGGAAGTAAGTTTTAAAAACTGTAAATTTCAGGGGAAGTTTAATTTCTCCCTCGAAATTTCCCCATTACATAAAAACAACATTAGCAGTGGGTCCCATTGAAAGTTTCCCTCCATAATATGGCATCAGAGAACACCAGAGAGCCTTAGTAGTCTGGTGTATACATAATACGTAAGGGCTGTTTGCTCGTTTAGAGGAGGGAAGATATAGAACTTGCTTCAGAGACTCTCCCATTCACTGAGTCCATGGATACTGACATGAAGTATATATACAGTGCACCATAATGTACACTGAGCTATGTATGTACAACACACAACTCCTAGGTTTTCCCATTTCCTCCGAACGATACACAGAAAATCAAGCTTCCACGGTGGTTAAACTTACAGCTTCTCTCTTTTCCAGCTCTGACTGTTCCTGGTTAGCAAAAGGACCGGCCTAGGAAAAGAATAAGAGAGGAAGAAAAAGTAAACAGCCAGCATTCTCTGCTAATAGACTGTTCACAGTACATCCTAGGAGCTAGAGACAGAGTCCCTGGAGAATTGTGAATGCTGTACTACTCCATATGTAGTATTTGTAACTCCACAGGGTTGGAACCCCCTCTCTAAGGACACCCCTGAAATGAGGACACTTCTCCAATAAGGAAACCCTGTCTCTCCTCAAGAACGGTTTCTTGCAAGCATGCACCATTGAAATACAACACCTCACTAATACACATGTACACTACCTCTGTCATATGTCACTATTCGACACAATACTTACCCCACTGTTGTAAGCTGGAGGCTTGTCATCTTTAGCTTGGACGAAGGCTGGAGGTGGTTCAACTTTCTTGGGTTTGGCTGCCTTGGCCGCCTTGTTCTTGGCCTTTATGTCTGATTTGGTGGGTGGAGGAGGCAACCTGGGTAGCTGAGAGAGAGAGGGGGGAGAGGAAGATGAGAGGGGGAGAAGAGGGAAGGAGAGACAAGAGAGAGTGGAGTGGGAAACAGGAGGAAGTTAGGGGAAAGAGGAGGGGAGTATGTGGGTATGTGTAAATATAAAACAGTGGGATGGTACAGGTGGCTTTGCGTAGTACATACATATGGTAGATCCACAGTATGTTGTATGTTCTATAGTGCTCAGACCCCTTGCACTTAATTAGTATTCACAATACACTCTCGTAGCTCCGTGTTCTACTCAACACACCGTCTTAGACAAACATGTCCATATACATAATGACAAACTTCTGTCTAACCCTCATACTCATGTCTAAACCGACTTCCACCCAGTTATCCTGTTCTCCCCCCTCCCCCTTCCCTCCCCCTTCCCTCTCCATTTCCTACCTCTGGTTCCGCTTTCTTTGCCGGCTTTCCCCCCTCTGCAAAGGGGTTATATTCATCCGGTCCAGAGCTGGGTGGAGGCTCTGTTACCTGGGTAACCGCCGGGTCCTGCATTAGAGGAACAGCTCGCGATATTACAACTCTAATAGCACAAACAAAAGTATGTACTAAGTGCTAAGTGGTGGCTACTCCTTGGTGCTTTCTCTTACTGTCAACATGCTACACCAACGCAGTGGCTAGGGCCAAAAGATGCCCAGGGCACGCGAAAACGTAGCCCTCGTTTAGAAGGAAGCTAAACGTACGGCAAACGGGTTGATTCCTTCCTCGCTCGCGAACGGGTTCCCCTCGAAATCTCCAGCCATGACACCTCTGCTCTCTTCCTTCTATGTAGCTAGTAGCTGCAGACTCTGAAAAAAGGCAGAGAGAGGAGACAAGAAGTGAATGTTGGTGGTGGCTTGGTCTCCGCCGCGCCTCAACAAAATCACGTGCCTCGCCCAGATCACATTATCAATTACGTCATCCAATACGAGACTTAGCCACGCCCACTTGGACAAATCGGTCGTCTCCACTCGTGTTTTTCGTTTCGTGCTCGAATTTGGCGGCGGTTTCGACGGACGTACGTCGAGCTGCATGTCATAGCTAGCTGCTGCAGGCAGGCCAGAGAGAGAGTATGTGGCGGGTGAGAAGACGAGTGTCGGTCGAGGGGTTGTACTACGCCCACGGTCTCCTCTGTGCTAGCTACCCCATCTCCATGCTGGCTTTCGTCTTCCTTGTGGTGGTCGTAACAAGGTGAGCAGGGGTGTTCCAGGATCCGTCTCTCCGTCAATGCAACCTGCAACTCTGCATCATTAATCAACTATAGCATTCGCAATATCACTCCTTGCGTGGTAATGCTAAAGTTTCTAGCTAAGTGCCTACTTTTCGTAATTTACTCCAATTATAGCAGGTTTTAGAATCCTTCAGCTTTTACCATTCAATATCCTGAAGATATAGAACACATCTCCATTTCGTTACTGATATTAATAGTACGACGTTTAGGACAGCTGCAGACCGTGTCCTGAAATAATTCCCTTCTTCCCTCCTCAGCTTGCCGTTCTTCGTAACGCCGACTGGAGACCTGAATTCCCCGAAACCATGGAGATCTCCGTGGCTCAATTACCGTGTCCCTGCGGGGAGAGGGGGCGGGGCTCTCGGAGAGGGGATGGAATGGATCGTGGACAATAGCACGCAGTTTTCTGGCCGCGTTCCATCCTGGGTGAGCAATGCATAAAGTCTGATTTACAATTCAAAGTTAAAAAATTTGCTGTTTGCTTTAGTAGTCACTATAGGGTTCATTTCGCTGTGCTATACATAAACATTGGAAATGCAATAGCTTACTTTATGTCAACATTATGGGCCAGGCCTCAACCCAATATTCCAATTAAAAATAGCTGTGCGTTTGTGACTATGGTCATTGTTGGGTTTACCAATCTCCGCCCACTGTTGTGTGTCACTGCTCGTGAATGTAGAGTCATTATAAGGAAGAAATGCGACTTCGTCCATGAATGTAGCGACTGTGGATGTACTCCACTAGCTAATTAGGCTGTAGTGTGGGGTACTGCTTTCTGTGTGGGGGGGGGCGGGGGTCCATTTTATTCTCAGATATCAGGGAGCCATGCATGTATGTACATAGAATAAAGGTTGTAGTAGATGTTGTAAGAAGCATAGAGATGGAATGAACTCGTTCAAGGCCCATCAAGATAAGTTTACGCCAGTAATATGCAACAGATACGCAACAGAAGCAAAAAATAATAACGAGACCGGGGGTTAGTAAAACTCAAATATGTATGTAAAATGATGAGCTTAGTTCCCTACATGTGCATACACCTGCGTGCTAGATGCCTCATTAGCCTTAGTTTGGCAGTGAAGAAGGGTAGCTAATGACGTTGCAACGCTACGGAGGGATGGTCTAGGGTTGTGTGATCTTGGCAGAGAAGACAGGTAGCTAATGTGTTACGGCAAAGATACACGGTGCACCTTTGTTGCGTGAGACAAAAATTGCATGCACTTCAAATGTATGGGTATGATAGACAAAAAGTTGCATGCAATATAAATAGCAAAATGTTGAGTGGACCAATCATGGGGGTTGAGTCCAAGAGTTCTTACCACCCTCTCCTCCTCCCTCTCCTCCTCCCTCCCTACCTCTCTCTCTCTCTCTCTCTCAGTTTCGAGGTTTGCCGGTGGCTCTGGCTCAGCAGATCTACGTGGACGTTCGTGTCAACTGTTCCTCTCACTCCACCTTCTGTCAAAAGTCTCACTTCAGCTCAAGTAAAGCTGTAGCTGCCTCTCTACTCCACACCCTCGGAGAAAAGACCAGGTATCTTATGGCGACACCTTTAGCGAGTGATTGAAATCGTGAATGTTTTTTTCTTAAGGTTTTAGGATTGTGTATATACTTCATTTAAAAATCATTGTTGTACTTACTACCTCCTCTTGGTCAGTATTTTTTAATTGGCTCCCTTTTAGTGCGCCAAGCATACTGACCATGTTCAAGAAAATTAGTTGTACTGTATAATCATATACAAACTTGCATGGTCTCTGAATGGTAACATGTACATGTACTGTATGTATGTACATATGTAGGTCTTGCTACCCAGTGCTCCATCCAGCTGCCGTCAGTTTGACCTCTGAACTCGACCACACCCACCCTCCCGGCATACTGTCGCCTCTACTTGACTTTGTTCTTTCTCGCTGGTCAGAGAGTATTTTAGATCTATATAGTTGCATAATAGTACAGTCTTTCCATCATGCTCGCTCTACTCTCTCTCTCTCTCTCTCTCACACACACACAGGGACTCAGAGGGTCAGGTGCTGGGGTTCCAGACCACAAAAGAGCTCCTCTACGGAGGGTTCTGGCAGAAGGAGCACTCATCCACCCCTCCCCCCTCCCCCTCCTCCCCTCTCACCAAGTCACACACGTTCTCCATCACCCGTTCTCCTGGACGCCAGCGTCTCCCGGTTCTCTCCCCTCACCCACTGCGTCGGGGCAATTAGAGGGGTGTGGCCTCCGGGAGTGGAGACCACACCCATTGACTCCCGGGCCAACTTCATCAAACACTTCTATTATGAGGTGTCCTGTCCATGATGGCATTCATTATTATATACTGAACTATAATCAGCTTATACAGATGTAAAATTGCTCAAAGTGGCTCTTTACTTGCCTGACTGAGCATTAATTAAGATAATTTGACACTTGCATAAGGCTAAATTTAAAAATGTTTGATTTGGCTTATATACTGCTGCATTCCCATTAGGAAGTCCAAATCTACTGTATGTATGTAAGTTTCCTTTGTTGGTTTTGTGAAAGATAACTTTTCCTCTCACTTTTTCCTCTCACTTTTTCCTCTCCGAGTAGCCTGACTGGAATCTGATGGAATTTCTTCCTCTACTGAGTGTCTACTTCATAGTCTTCCTCTACATCTCCTTCTCAGTGGGTGAGTCACATGACAGTCATGTGATCATTCCATCTGTCATAAGACAGTCATGTGATCAGTCACATAAGATCATGATCACTTATTGACTGATCATACTACTGTCATGTGACTGGCACATTACACTCATAAGTCATCAGTCACATGACAGTCATGTGATGCTCACCTATTGTTCTCCAGGTAAGATTGACCTGGTAAAGAGTAAGGTGGGGTTGGGAGTTGCAGCAATCATAACGCTCATCTGCTCTCTCACCATGTCACTCGGAATATGCACTTTCTTTGGTCTCAGCATCTCTCTCAGCAGCAGGTGAGTTTTTAACCCCTTTCCCCCTCTCTTCTAGGTAAGGTTTAACCTCTTTCCCACTCTATTTCTCCTTCTCCAAGTGGTTGAGTCACAAGTCCTAAGGCCTAACTTCGTTGCATGAGATGCAAATTTCATGAAAATTTGGGTCCATGCAAAACAGAGAGAACAAATATCTTTTCATGCTACATATGTTACATGGATCTCTTATTACCACGTATGTTTGTACACAACTTGTCGTAAGAACTCTCTTCGTTCCTCTTCTCTGTCACGGTCTACACCTTGCAGCGAGGTGTATCCGTTTTTTGTGATAGTGCTGGGTCTGGAGAACATTCTCATCATCGTCAAGGCGGTCATGTCGACGCCGGAGGAGTTTGAGGTGAAACAGAGGATTGCAGCTGGGCTCAGCAAAGAGGGCTGGGCCATTTCCCGCAATCTCTCCACTCTTCTTCTGATGCTGTGCATGGGCATTGTGTTCTTCAACTACACCATGAAGGTACACAGCTCAACCCCTCTAAGGACACCCCTGTAATAGGGACGCCTCTTAACCCTTTGGACGCCATGGGTATCTCCTTAAATAAGCAGAAATTGATGTATTCACGCCTAGTATTATAGCCATATATAAATTCTTATGGACTTATGGAGGCTCTGGGCATTTATATATATATAATATATAATATGCCCGTGGCTTGCTAAGGGTTAATGAAGTAAACATTGTCTTACCTCGTGTCAATAGGAGTTCTGTATCATTGGACTGGTAGCTCTGCTGTGTGACGCGTTTCTCCAGCTCTTCTTCTTCCCCACTGTCCTCTCCATCGACCTCAGGAGACTGGAGGTGACACTGAGAGAGAGAGAGAGAGAGAGAGAGAGATTGCTACGTACAAATTTTTGAGGGTGGAGCAGTTAATACTTTTTTGAGGGTTCTTTGTATGTAGTACTTTGCCTGCTATATAGTGGACCTTAAAACTTTCAGTAGCCGTAAAAATCAGGAACCCCCAGTGAAAAATGTTTTTATTTGAGTGTTTCTGGCTATTGTGCCTGCAAATGGATGCTTAAAACTTCGTTTAGCCATCCAACGTAAAAACTCAGTTGAATGTAAAAACTTGGAAGTTGGTTTCAATAAACATTCCATCCATACTTGCTATATTATATATAGTTGTCTCTCTCTCTTGTCGTTCCAATATAGCTGAGTGATCTGGGGCCTGACCCGGTATCTGTCGCCATGCAGCAAGCCAACGAAGGTTCTTACTTAAAGTGTGTGTGTGACTATCAAAACCGTGGGTTTAATAGAGTTGTTTCATCCTTAAACCAACTCCATTTGGCCTTTTCAGATCACTCACCCACATCTGTTCTGTGTAAACCACTATTATATCTGGGATGTAACTTACTGCTTGATTGGATATGTAAGTACAAGTATTAACTTTGTTTGTTCAGTCAGCCCTCAGAGAGGGCCTAAAAAATTATTCCACACTCATAGTGTGTCCTCCTCCACGGAAATCTTTAGTAAAAGGCGAAAGATTTATTCGCTCTGAAGGAAGACCAGAGTGAAGTGGAGCTCTGAAACCTGAGCTTCTTATACTCTGTTCTCTACCATTCGCTTGTGGTTTTCAATGAATCTCATTACAATTAGCACCTGTAAGGTTCTGCGTATCTTAGTCCAGTACACCTCTTTGCACCAAACACACATCCAAACATGTGCTAAATCCTTGACATAGTGCACATGTATAATATAAATTTGCCATGAACAGCGTTGTAGCTGAAAGAACGGGCAGAACAAATTCCTAAATTATTCATAGGGTCACAAAAGAGACAGTATGCTTTCCATCATCATTATACTGATTTTACTCCGTACCTCTCTCCCATCCTCTGTCTCCCAGGATCTCCATCCACCATGACTAGTACCCAGGGCCCCTGCCCCACCTCCCTCCACATCACTCCCCCCTCAAGATGGAGGTCAAAGAGGGTTAAATTTGCCTACTTCCTGCCAGTGCCAGACTAGTGTCCAGAGCCATTATGGTGAGTAACGGTATACACACATACATACACATCTTTTTCCATGTTAGTTTTCCTCATTACGTGCGCTGGGAACACGTCACTTTTGCGTTCATCGTTCACGCTGTGTAACATACACACAAGTGATTCTAAATCCCGAGAATTATTTGCACTGCACACTCCAGCTATATTCGGTGTGTTTAGGGATGGTTGGTTGGCCTTTCCATACCCTCACATGCTCTGTAAAAGTACGATAAATTTAAGCTTATTTTCACTGCACTCTCGATATGCAGTAAAGTTGTTCAGGGTAGTTAGTTGGCCTGTCCTTCTGTGCAAATGCTTGCTAAAAGTACGAAATGTTTAAGCTTATTTTCACTGCACTCTGGATGTGCAGTAAAGTTGTTCAGGGTAGTTAGTTGGCCTGTCCTTCTGTGCAATGCTTGCTAAAAGTACGAAATGTTTAAGCTTATTTTCACTGCACTCTCGATGTGCAGTAAAGTTGTTCAGGATAGTTAGTTGGTCTGTCCTTCTGTGCAAATGCTTGCTAAAAGTACGAAATGTTTAAGCTTATTTTCACTGCACTCTCGATGTGCAGTAAAGTTGTTCAGGGTAGTTAGTTGGTCTGTCCTTCTGTGCAAATGCTTGCTAAAAGTACAAAAGGTTAAGCTTATTTTCACTGCACTCTGGACATGCAGTAAAGTTGTTCAGGGTAGTTAGTTGGCCTGTCCTTCTGTGCAAATGCTTGCTAAAAGTACGAAAGGTTAAGCTTATTTTCACTGCACTCTCTAGGTGCAGTAAAGTTGTTCAGGGTAGTTAGTTGGTCTGTCCTTCTGTGCAAATGCTTGCTAAAAGTACAAAACGGTTAAGCTTATTTTCACTGCACTCTCGATGTGCAGTAAAGTTGTTCAGGGTAGTTAGTTGGTCTGTCCTTCTGTGCAAATGCTTGCTAAAAGTACAAAAAGGTTAAGCTTATTTTCACTGCACTCTCGATGTGCAGTAAAGTTGTTCAGGGTAGTTAGTTGGTCTGTCCTTCTGTGCAAATGCTTGCTAAAAGTACAAAAAGGTTAAGCTTATTTTCACTGCACTCTGGACATGTAGTAAAGTTGTTCAGGGTAGTTAGTTGGCCTGTCCTTCTGTGCAAATGCTTGCTAAAAGTACGAAAGGTTTAAGCTTATTTTCACTGCACTCTCTAGGTGCAGTAAAGTTGTTCAGGATAGTTAGTTGGTCTGTCCTTCTGAGCAAATGCTTGCTAAAAGTACAAAACGGTTAAGCTTATTTTCACTGCACTCTCGATGTGCAGTAAAGTTGTTCAGGGTAGTTAGTTGGTCTGTCCTTCTGTGCAAATGCTTGCTAAAAGTACGAAAGGTTTAAGCTTATTTTCACTGCACTCTCGATGTGCAGTAAAGTTGTTCAGGATAGTTAGTTGGTCTGTCCTTCTGTGCAAATGCTTGCTAAAAGTACAAAAAGGTTAAGCCTATTTTCACTGCACTCTCGATGTGCAGTAAAGTTGTTCAGGGTAGTTAGTTGGTCTGTCCTTCTGTGCAAATGCTTGCTAAAAGTACGAACGGTTTAAGCTTATTTTCACTGCACTCTCTAGGTGCAGTAAAGTTGTTCAGGATAGTTAGTTGGTCTGTCCTTCTGTGCAAATTCTTGCTAAAAGTACAAAAAGGTTAAGCCTATTTTCACTGCACTCTCAGGTGCAGTAAAGTTGTTCAGGGTAGTTAGTTGGTCTGTCCTTCTGTGCAAATGCTTGCTAAAAGTACGAAAGGTTTAAGCTTATTTTCACTGCACTCTGGATGTGCAGTAAAGTTGTTCAGGATAGTTAGTTGGTGTGTCCTTCTGTGCAAATGATTGCTAAAAGTACGAAAAGTTTAAACTCAGTCACTCCCCGTGCAGAATGTGCACTGGTCAGCATATTGCACTGCGATATTCAACTTTATACGTAAGTCAGCGTATTTAGAATTGATTGCTGGCCAGTTTAACATTAAAAGCAAAACTTTACCACTCCCAGTATTATTTCCTCCCCCTCTCCTTCGCCCAGGTGGCAATGGTCGTGTCCATGATGGTAGTCTGGGCTGCAAACACGGACAAGTTCCAGAAACTTCTCGGATTTGATTTCGTCCTTCCTCCGCCCACTTCCCTCCCCCTTGACTCCGCCCCTCTCCCTCCCTCACCTCCACAGGCGGGGCCGGCGCCACCCGACAACCAATTCCCCTATAGTTACCAAACTGTAAGACCACCGATTGACGACCCGACTTCAAAGGCGTTCTCTAAATGGGATAAGTCAGTAGACGACGACACAGAACTGATGAAAACGGGTGTGGTCATTCGAGAGGCGGGGCAGGACGGATGGGGTGTGGTCTGTGAGGGTGGGGAGGTGTGTTGGCGAGCCATGGTAACCACCCACTGGCCCAAACTCCTGCAACACTATGGCTTCCCTAGCAAGAACAGGTGACGAGAAGGAATAAATGGCGAGCAAGATTGAGCTAATCTAGCCCCAAACATAGAAAGAACCACAACCACATCTTGACAACGTACACCACGCCACTGAGCAAACACCACCATACATCGTAACGACAACGCAAATAACACAAATCACAAACTGTGCATAGCACATACGCTCAAAAATAGTTCTGTCAGCTGCACAGCCCACTCCACGCACAGAGAATTTCAAGCCGTATATTTTCCTGTTTTTGTAGGTTTTTGAGTGTTTTGCCGCCAATTATGCTGACCTTTGATCTCGGAACAAGCTCTGCTCACCCCCACCCAAACTCCGCCAAGGAGGACCACACCCAGGCGTACCAGACAACGCTGTACCTCCTGTCCCACCCTTACTTCACCAAGGGCTCTGTGGCGTTCACTCTAGTGGGCGTGGTCCTGGTGTACACCGTCTGGCTGATTAGGTCGACATTGAGGAGAATGGAGGCAACGAGTGGAGAGGGAGGAGGGGGAGAGGGGAAATGGAGCAGCACTCTGTTGAAGGGGCACACTCAGGTAGGTGGGTGGGGAGGTCTCCTTAATTCTGTATATAGCACTCTCTCTTTCACCACCCCTTCCCAATGAGGGTTTGAATGGTTTTGCATTTTTTGCAGGGATGTACGTAAACGAAATAACAAACCAAGCTTCCCTAATACTTTTACTATAGTTGGAGGGTGGAATAGCAACACTATCTCGCTTCTACTTCACTGTTCTCTTTCACCCCCCACCCCTTTCCAAATGAGGGTTGGAACGGTTTTGCATTTTTTGCAGGGATGTATGTAAACGAAATGACAAGCAGAGCTTCCCTAATACATTGACTATAGTTGGAGGGTGGAATAGCAACACCATCTCATTGTACCCCTATCTTGCCTCTGTTTCTTCACTAGGACGTAGAGTGTCTGTGTGTCGGTGAAGATTGGTTGGTCAGTGCCAGTCTGGACGGAGACATCAGAGTGTGGAACACAGACTCCATGACACGGGGATGTGCCCTCACCATATCCAGGGGGGTCAGCTACTAACACACACCTGTTCTCTCTGATTGTCCCCACTTCTCTTATACATCTGTTCTTTCTGATTGTATTGTCCCCCTTCCCTTACTGGGGACCAGTAAGTAATGAATGGGTGTATGAACACTGACCCCCAAAAGAACAATTCTTGCTTGCACAGGACACAGGGTTCTAGCGTATTGCGTAAGACATTATTGTTACCACACAGTATGCTATCTCCAAATCTTTCCTCTCCTATCTTCATTCCCCCCCTCCCCGTACCCCACCTCTACCCCCAGAGAGCTGTGTGGAGATCTCTCAACCTATGCCGACAAGTGGAGACCGGATGCTGAAGGCTGCGAGGCAGCTGCCGACAATAAGAGCGTTGCCAGTTTACAACTGGGTCCCTCTGGGGGGGCTGCCCCCGTAAATTTTCAAATAGGGGGGAATGCCAGAGTTCATGCTGTGGGGGGACCTGATCAAAGCTCAGTGACTGGGACGATGACATCATCTGTGACCAATCAAATTGCGGCTTCTGTGCCGCCCCATGTGATGCTGGCAAGGAGTGTGTCTGCACAGAACATGACAATACAGCAGGTTCCTCGCACTTTGCCCCTCCCTTCCCCGCAGCCACACCATCAGCCACACCCCTTGGCCCTCTATAATGGAACTTCCACCGGTCTGCCCACCTCTCCTCCTTCCTCACCCCTTGCTTGTTCTTCCCCACCCCCATCTCCCGGTGTCCCACTCAGCTCAAGCAGGCGCCACTCCACTCAATCTCTACAGGAATACCTACTCAGACCTCAGCTTGAAAGACCAGCTGCTTCATCAAGTGCTATACCCCCTACTACTCCTTCCTCTCTCTCTTCCGCGTCAAACCCTCCCCCTATTTCTACAGCCACACACCCTGCCGCCCCTTCTGAAGCTCTGCACGCCTTACCCCACACTCCAGCTACAACTAATTCCGCCCTCTCTCCTCTTCCTCGTTGCGGGCTACCAACCTCTCCCCCACCCGTTGCTCCCGCGGCAACTAAACCCAGTGGAGCACGTCCTAGCGATTGCAGTGGATCTGTTTCTTCAAGATTCGGTGGTGGAACGGCTACCCACAGTTCGGTTGGTTCACGTCCCCCTAGGCATTCTGTCTCGGAGCTAGCCCACCCCCCGTCGACCCAAGGCGGCCATTTTCCTCGGAGACACGCCAGGAGCAAGTCTTCTGGACCAATCACGGTCCTCCCTCCCTCGTCTCCTCTCGCTCACCCCCAGTCTTCTGCGAGCGATGTTCCCCAGCAAAGAACACACTCTAGGAACCTGTCCACCAGCAACATCTCGCAGGGAGGGAGAGGGAGAGAGTTTGCAGACGCTCCAAAACTACTGAGATCGTCCGTTTCGCTGAGTCCAAAGTTCCCCCCGAGCGCGGCTACTCCTCCTTCCCCTCCAGATCCAGAGAGAGGCTACGATTTCGCCAAACACTTCAATCTCTTCTCTCCGTTCACTTCCAACATGGCACTGGAGTACTGTCACCGGGAGTCAGGACCAGGGGTCACAGGTCACCGAGACTCCGCCCCCTGCCGTATGGAGTATGGACGTCTGGAAAAATTACATTGCGGTGGGGTGCGGGAACGGGCAGATTGAGGTGGGTGTGGCTCAGTCATGTGACACGAAATTCACACTGAAGTGTAAACTGCGGTTAAGACAACTGCCCATTGTTAACTGTAACCTACACTTCTGTAGGAAGCCAGTGTTGTTGGCTCTGGGTCGAGTATTAGTGAATGAATAATACTGCCATACATTAGGTGCTTACCCAGCATTAGTGGTGTGATGGTTAGCATTATTGCCTTCCAAACAGCAGATTGGGTTCATTCATGGCCTACACAGCGTTTTATTCCCTCGTATCTGTGCGCACACACCGCAGCTTTCTGCGTTAAAATACAAGTGGTTGCACGGACAGTTTATTCCCAATTATGCCGCAATAAAGGATTTGTGTGCATGTAGTATCTACATTATGTGCACAGATGTGGAATATGGACAGTGGTTCTCTGAACTTTGCACTCAGCACCAACCTGGCAGGAGCTACCGTCATCTCTATAACTGCCGCTGGGTAAACCAGCCTTGCTAAGAATACTCAGTCTGCTACATATTTTACAACATAGCTAAATACTCAATGTAGGCTAGATTGAGAATACGTTCACCACATTATATGGTGCACTAACAGTATAGACCCTTGTGTATATTGAGAGTGGGTACATATCTTTCTCTGCGATATCCTGAACTGCAGAATAGTGTGTGGGCACATGGACGGTTGTCTGCACGTGGTCAGTTTGGACAGTCACCAGAGGCACACCCTCCCCGCCCACACCAAGCCAGTGAGTGTGGTGAGGTGTGGCGGAGGAAGGGTGGTGAGTGGAGGCTACGACGGGACCGTTGTGGTCCACCGGATGACCGACCTGGAGAGAGAGAGGACCATCACGGTCCACAGCGGCAGCCGTGTCACCTCTCTGGCTCTGGACTGTGTGAGTGGGAATAGTTTAGTCACTGAATCACACTTTCAATTTCAAAGTTGGCCCTTATTCAGAGGTTTCACTTTGTGTTGGTACAGAGGGGCAGAAGCTGGTGGTACGTATGGACGAGACAATCTTACTATCGCACTATATCGCACTATATACGCTGCTGGTGGTACCGGTACGTATGGGGCTTAAATGGACGAGACAAGCTTGCAGTGTTGCACACACCACAACATACACTGGTGGAGCAGACAGTTGCTTTTTTGTGGAACCTTCATACCATGTATGGGAGTGTCAGTGTTTTATTTTTGATTTTACAGTCAGCCCTCAGAGAGGGCCTAAAAAAATTATTCCACACTCATAGTGTGTCCTCCTCCACGGAAATCTTTAGTAAAAGGCGAAAGATTTATTCGCTCTGAAGGAAGACCAGAGTGAAGTGGAGCTCTGAGACCTGGGTTCTTATACTCTGTTCTCTACCATTCGCTTGTGGTTTTCAATGAATCTCATTACATGGTGGTTTCACGGTTCAACATGAGTGGTTTTCAACGTTAGCACCTTTCTTTCTCTCTCTCTACCATTCACTTGTGGTTTTCAATGAATCTCATCAACATTGGCACCTTACTGTGTGCTTGTAAGCACCAGATTGATATGTATCTGTGTCTCAGTGGTCAGCTAATAATAGGAGAGTCGTCTGAATTGAACAATTTTTCTGTGTAATGAAATTTTGGGCAATATATACTTATCCATACCATGATGCTTTGCGTAATTCTTAATACTCACAGTTTTTTTTCCACTGTGCTCGCTCACTAGTGATGTGTTACATTTGTTTTAGGCAATTACTGTTAACACCTCTAAAACGGTTCCTCTCTCTCCAGTCGGCAGCTACAATGTGTGTCTCGGGCTGCAGTGGGGGTGTGGTCTGTTACTGGGAGGTAACCACTGGAAACTGTCGACACCTCCTCCAGGAATCGGGCGGAGACGAGGGCGTGTCCGTCGTTAAATTGGATATATTAGTGGGCGGAGTCATAGTGGGTCTGATGTCTGATGAAACAGTCGTGGTTTGGGATAAGTCAAGTGGAGAGAGTCTGTTTACTATAGCACTGGTGAGTGTCATGTGACGTATGATGCCATGTAGCAAGGTCACATGATGTTCACATGACTTTTTTCCTCCACAGGAGGGGGTGTGTCCTGACATAGCTCTGTTGGGAGGGGGGAGGTACATGGCGGCTTCAGTGGAGGTAAGAGTAACAAAAAGCTGCTTTCTTCCCATCTTCTGAGTTTTTTGTACATGAACATGAACATGTGATAATAACTATGCAGACCTATGAATGGCTACTGCATAATACCTTTTTGGGTTAGTTGCTTGGTTGAAAGGTGAAAGCCTATAGTGAGATATATAGGCTGAAAGACGAAAGTTTTGAATGTTCGTAGCAAGAGGAAGAAAAGGCGGAAGTTTAGAGCGAGATAGGGTAAAAGTTGGGGAAGTTCAGAGCAAGAAAAGGAATCCCCTTTCCCTCTACCTTTTTCTCTCCCCTCCAGTCACTGATAGTGGTTTATGACTTGGAGTCGGGACAGAAGAGGTTCCAGATGCAAGTGGGGGGCGGGGAAATGGGCGTGGTCTTGGTTCGCCACCTCCTCCCACTCCAGGGAACCCACGTGGTGTGTAGCACAGGTCGCGACCTCCGTATCTTTCATTGCGGCATCAAGATGAAGATTGACTAATCCTTCCCCCTCTTCACTGTCAGCAAAGCATTTTTTCTCTTTAGGGTCTGTTTTTTCACCAGAATTACAATGGTATGTATGTATACACATCTTCTATATTGTGTTCTTCTCTGCAAGAACTGCCGCGTATTGTATATATGTTGGTCTAGGGTTGAAATTTTTTACATAATGTCTATCACCGTTGATTTCTATATCATACAACAGAACCGCCATTAATTGATGACTGCATTATAACATGATGGCTCTTGAAAAATATGTCATTTGACTGGTGAAAAAATAGTGTTCTATACAATGTGTTAGGAGAATTTATAATTATATGCACAAGAGGTGAATGAACAGATTGAGCAAGAGGAGAAGTCAGTTTTAATGTGACTTTTCGGCCTCCACTCCACCCCCTGATTGTTTTTAGGCTAGTCTGCATCTTGCAAGGAGAGATTATGGAGTCTCTGGACGAGGCAGTAGAGACTGGACTGTGGTGGTGTCTGGGAAAAGGAGGAGGAAGAGGAGAGGGAGGGTGCCTCTACTGGCTTTGACTGTAGGTCATCCCTCACACCTGCCAACACCTGACAAAAGAAGAGAAAAGAGGAGAGAATGAAATTTGCTCATGGGCCAGGCAAAAAATGTGGGAAACCAAATATTTTTGCACTAAAAATACGTCCCCAATTTTGCAATTCTCTCACCTACTGAACTTACCTTAAACAACAAATTTTGGGGGTTAGGGCATGCAAATACGACCACTGACCTCTTTTCTTCCCCTGTCGGAGGTGAAGAGAGGGGACCTCCTCTCTCGAGGGTCAACAGTACAGCAGCTCATCAGGTAGAGTCTGATTGAGGGGCCGTGGGCATGTGACACCTCCACTCCTACCCTGACAGTCACATGATCCAAGAGTGTCAGGGTGTACTGGCCTGCTGGGTGGGTTACTGTCACCCTGGTCTCTTCCACCTTCAGATGGCCTGGTGGGTATATATAGGTGGCACATTTCTCATAATAGGTCGCACAGAACTATGATTATTATACTACAAAGGAAGGTGTCCCAGAGCTGTTCTTCCTCTTTTTCTCTGTCTGTGTAGGTAGTGTGCGAGTCGTTTAGTTTTATGTCCCGCACAGTTGAAGACACACCACGCATTCAGAACATGTTGCTTGACAAGGTACAGTACGAAAGGTTTGGACCACCAAAGTTTGGACCACCTGTATATACCTCCTGAGGTTTATTAGCTGCACCATCATACTGAGGCATACAAACACACACACACACTACAGCACAAGGACACATTGCATATACCAAGCACTAGGACACACAAGAGGGACACTCCATTTATACTCTTACCAGATGCAAAGGCGACAGAACAGTGGCCGGCCTCGGAAACAGCTGCCGGCTGAGCAACCAGTCCAGCCTTATCCTCGAGATATACCACTCCCTTAACTCCATACCTGTACAACCACATGAAGGTATTAGACCACGTGATGCCAAGAGAAAAAAGATGCGGAGCACATGAACACCACCACTACTTTTCACAACATGCAGTGGTTTATTTTGAGAGGGTGAAATTGCGTACGTTTCATATGTACAGCTTACGTATGTATGTGCATGATGCACATACAATGTGCATCATGTAAAAGTATAACTAGTAGGCGAATGCATGGCATTTTTGGCGAGCGGAAGCGAGCTTACAACTAATCGTATGAGTCACTCTTGTGTGTGCACAAAACAGTGAGATACATTGCACAGGACCAAGTAGGCCTTTTAGACCCGAGCGCAGTAGACAATTCGAGTCGAGTCAAAAACAGTCAGACGACAGCGCGAATCAGGCATAATCCGGCAATCGGAAAAATCTCTCGCTGGACTGTGCAGCTATTCTCGATAGCTTCGGAGGTGTTCGAGCCTGCCGTGTTGCGTTTCCTATCGATTCAGGCAACATATGAAAATTTTGATATCCCTTTCGGATAAAAAGAAGCGCGTAATGCTGGAGCATGCGCAGTTGGACAACGTACGGTGACATATATATATATAGAAAAATCGCGCCGTTCGGACCACTAGGTTAGCTCGCTTCCGCTCGCCAATTACATACTTAAGTGTAGACCAAACTTTGGCCTGCTACAGGGTAGTGTAGGGGGGGATACTTCAAAATGGTGAACGTAACTGTGAGAAAATTGCCTACACCCCCGTAATTGTATATACACGAACCTTGGTATCTGAACTCTGACCCCCTTGGTGAGGATGGCGTAGACCACGCCCACACAGACACACCTCTCGTCCTCTCTCTCGTGGTTACTGAAGTAGAGAGCTTGGAACATCTCCGTGGACGCCATCTGGGCAAGTTGAGCTGCCTGCACAGAGAGAGAGAGAGAGAGGGGAGGGCATGTTTGTGTTATGCTGGCAGCTTAGCTGGTAGAGTGCTCTGCCTAGAGAGCAGAGTGTTTTGAATCCCGCCAAATGCAATTCTTTTTTCCTGGTTTTCATCTGTTGTTACATAGCTCTGTCTTTGCCTGTTGAAATGCCTGTCCTTGACTCCTTGCTCCTTGCTTTGTTCATTAATGTACAAAAGAGGAATTTGTCACTTCTACATGTACATACTGATGTGCTAAAGTGGAACACAAGAGAGGTGCTAACATTGAAAACCACTCATGTTGAACCGTGAAACCACCATGTAATGAGATTCATTGAAAACCACAAGCGAATGGTAGAGAACGGAGTATAAGAAGCCCAGGTCTCAGAGCTCCACTTCACTCTGGTCTTCCTTCAGAGCGAATAAATCTTTCGCCTTTTACTAAAGATTTCCGTGGAGGAGGACACACTATGAGTGTGGAATAATTTTTTTAGGCCCTCTCTGAGGGCTGACTGAACAAACAAAAATCAAGTCCTTTTCTTTTTCACTGTCTTTGGCTCTTTGTTAAGAGTGTCACACCTGAACTTCTAGAGGGTAGAAAACTTTATTCGGATTCCACTGCCATATTTGTCGGCCTGCCTTTCGTGTCACTGGAAGTACAATATATTCTGCCCACCTTTTTTCCACATGCACTCTTAAGGAAGGTTCGCACTGTGTTCTCCAGCTATAGTGAAGGCACTCAGAACGATTGTTGCGCTATAATCTTCCCTTCACATACTCTCTAAAAGTACGAAATTTAGCTACGTCACCAAGTTTCCACGGATTTCCTCTCACCCTATGTGTGCTGTTCATGTGTTGACAGTACTCAGCCAGTTGAACATTCCCTGGCAGCTTCTCTCTCTCCCTCTCTCCTCTCTTCTCTTCCTCTACCACTGCCAATAGTTGACGATGTACCTACAAAACAACAGTGTTGCATCATCCCTTGCTAGTGGTGAAAGGGTTAAATTAAGTCAGCATACACAGGGTGACTTTGTTGCGTGAGGCAAAAGTCTCACACACAACTTTAATGCATGGGTGCATGTAAAATGCTACATGCAGTAGACAACAGCATGCAACAGACAACAGCATGCAACATGTTGTGCGGACCCATCATACCCATACATTGAAGTCGCAATAGCTTTTGTCTCACACACAATAAAAGTCGCACCGAGTGATTGCCTTTTAACAACTCACAATGACATCAGCATATCGTCTGATGGGAGATGTGAAGTGAGTGTAGTAATCCAGAGCCAGACCGTAGTGACTGAACTGGTCTGGGGACCCGGTGGAATGGAACGAGGACCCGGTGGAATGGACTGAAGACCCGGTGGAATGGTATGAAGACACACTCCCCGTGGAGAAGTACTCGGCTTGTGACATGGCCTGGGTGGCTAGAATTCGGAAGATCTGGGGGGAAATGGTGGTGATGTATGAACACACAGCAGATGTGAATTAAGAGGAACAGGAGACTGAGATTGGTTAACTGCTATTAGAATTTCAGGGTTTTCCTTAGGGAGGTCTTCCACTGTACGATTTAAGGTAAGTCAGAGAGAGAGAGAGAGAGAGAGAGAGGGAGAGAGAGAGAGAGAGAGAGAGTTTAAAGTGAAATGCTACCAACTTTGTTGACTTCAGGGTCGTGAGGGTCCACAGCGTTATCCAGAGACTCCGCCAGTTCCTTGTTAGAGCCGGTCAGAATCTGGAATCCTCTCACTCCGGCACACGTCCGGAGGTGAGTGAATCTGGTCTGAGAGGGAGGTGGGTGGCGACGCAGGAGGGAGGAGGTGGGGAGGGAGGAATGTATCTTCTTGGCCACCCAGTGGTTGGCAAATATCATACACTCCGCTATGGTGTCATGAACATCAAGATGCTAATGGGGGAGGGGAGGGAGGGGGAGGGAGGGTAGCCAATGAGCAGTGAGTACAGTAAAGGGACAGAGAATCAAGTGTCAAATTATTCAGAGGTGTTCCTTGTTGAATGCACTAAGTACTAGTATGGGGCAGAACCAAGTGTCATTTATGGAGAGGTGTCCTTTATTTAGAGTGTATATACTTCTTGGGATGTTATATATAGTGCAGATGGAGTGAGTTTGAAAAGAACTAAAGAGGAAAGGAGAGGGAGAGAACAAAGAAAAGAGCGCTGATGTCACACCGAACCTGCTTTGGAACGAGGTCTTCAATATTGGCCGTGCCTTTCTCCTCCCCCATTACCACCTTCACCTCGAAGCTGTCGAGATACACGGCACCATCCTCACCTCTCCGCTGCTTCAGACAGTGAGCAATCTCAGAGAGAGTCTTCACCGCCCCTCGCAGCTCCTCTAGTCTGGGGAAACACACACTTTCTAGAAATCACGGGTATAGTACTATACTTTTATGCATAGGTACTATTAATTAGACCACTTTGTAGCCACCTCGAGCCTTAAAAACCAAAAATTTACGAACAATAATTTGTAAAAAGGGCTTTAGAAATTTGGTGTAATTTCGGACCACTGAGCACGGAAATGCAAAAATATTACCTTTTCTCGAGTTCTTGTTGAGAGAGGTCAAGGTTCAAGAGTTCAGGAATGTCTCCCCTGATATCGGAGGCAGCTGCTCCGTCACATAGTTGCTGGGCAACCTCGTACGAGAGTTTGTACCTTGACCTTATGAGTGTGCGACCGAACCAGACACTCTTCACATCATAGTTCTGATCCATTTTCCACACCACACTCACTGCATACCTGATTGGAGGGAGAGCCAGCATCATCATAGAGTGGCAGGCAAATATTACCTCTGTTTACTCCCCACAAGCAATGGTCTACAGCGTCTATACGAGGGCCGTTACTATTCGAGGTGGAGCGTTTATTGGAGGGAATATGATCAAACATATCTAAAAAGGTAGGATACAGAAACGAAACTTTGCATATATAGAGTACATAGATTGGAATCTAATCCATAAATTATATACATACCCAGCATCAAACGTGTAGGGCTAAACTGACCCACTATTTTCACTTTAGGTGAGTGTAACATATCTCTACGTGTAACTGTTTTGCTTGCATTGTTTTTGGTATAACTAGAATTCGTGGAATGCTAATCTCACCTGTCCACCCCAGACAGTAGGGAGCAGAGGTGAGCACTGAGAACGGGCGGCAACATATCGTGCCTCCTGTCGGCCAGGTAGACTGAGGTGGAGCGACGCTGCGCCTCCGCGTCTGTCAGACTGCCCGGCCTGACAAAGTGGGAGACATCAGCAATATGGACACCTAGCTCCGTCACCCCCTTCTTGAGGTGTCTGTGGAGAGAGAGAGGGTATTGCGGCCGGTGAAGAAAATCTAGGTTAAACCTGCGTAATGAGAGGGAGGGTATTATAATACCTGACAGAGAGTGTGTCGTCCACATCCTCACATCCCTGGGGATCGATGGAAAAGACGAGATGAGTCTCCCTCAGATCTCTCCTCTTCTCCTCCTCCTCCACCTCCACCTCCCACCTCTCTCTCTCCGGCAGCTCTGAAACCAACAGACACCCATCCAAACATCAACGACATCGCGAGGCAAAGGTAGAGTGAAACAATTATGTACCTTGTACTAAAACGAAATTCTTTCACAGATCAAAAAAGCAACGTTTCGCGAATAAAGTTTTGCATCCTGCAAGTGCGGCAAAATTAATAATATCCATGGAAAAATGCGTTTGAGTCTTCCTAAATGATTGCGAAATATAGTTAGGTTTCTCAGAGGCCTATTTTCAAGAATGTTCCAAGAATACCCTAGTACTAGTCTCTTGCACAATCAGAGATTACAGTTGGTCTGAAATGCGGAGAGAGAAGAGGCTTCATCGAGGCACATCTTGCAGCTGTTTTCCAGAGGACATGTGGCATGTAATAGAGACTGACCGTTGAGGAGGTCGCGACTGAAGGTGGGGAAGGAGAGGCCGTGTTCTATCATTATGACAGCTGTCTCTGTCTCCACATCTCCAATGGGTCCAATGTTCCTGACAAAGTGGCCGTCTGGGTACTGCGAGGCGGACGACCAGGTGTCAATTTGGACGACGATGCGATGGGATCGCAGGAGGTCCGCCTGCCGCGTCCCGATCCTTATCTTTGGGATTCTGGTGTCGTACGGCAGAACAAGGACCCTCTCCGTCTTTCCTCGTGACTCCTCTGCCTTCTCCTGAAATGGGGGGGGGTCACTCATAGCACAAGTGAAGATGGAACGTTTGAACTGCTGTTTTCTGGTGCATATCGGTTTTGTAGGGGGGCACAACGTAATGTAAATCAGGGGGGCAAAGCCATTAATCTATAGGTAGGGGGCCAATTTCCCCCTTGCCCCCTTAGAAATCCTCCCCCCCTTGCCCCCTTAGAAAAACCCGGTATAAGGTACTTTTATAATGTGACTATACTACACACAGTTACTGTAAACACACATGAACAAAGCAGACCTCGAAGGTGGCGACATATTTTCTCCTCTCTCTCTCAAGAACTCCGACCACTGCCCCCAGAGCTACACTCCCTCCCTCCCCTTCACCATGATCTCCCACTAGACACACACACACACACACACACACACAGAATCGATACGCACAGTACAGTCGATCCCACTGAATGAAAACTGTATAGTTGGTAGATATTCATGAAGAAACATTTTCTCCCTACCATTTGATGCCTCTGACTTTGGAAGAAGAAGGATAGCAACTCTGTCGTTGTGGATTGCTCTGTTCCTGGCCATGGGTCCCACGATTAGCACCTTCCCTCTTCCCTCCCCCTCCCCCCATCTCCCCCGAGAGCACAACTTCGGCCTCTTCCCGAGGACGACGACTGCTAACATGGAGCCTGCCTTGCAGTAGACGACCCTTTTATAGAGAGACAGACAGACAGACAGACAGGCAGACAGACAGAGAGATTTAAAGGCTAACTCTACGTTCAACTTTGTGTACACGATATGACGTACACCTGCACGAATCCATCACACCCATTGTCTCACACACCAAATGTCACATCACGTGCATTGGCGTGTTTTACAAGCAAGATTTCCTTACCATCTTCAAGCCCTCTGAAATGTCTTCAGTTGACCAGTGCTCTCTAAAATCCTTCACAGCACCTGAACCAAAAAATATTATGAGACTGGAAGTAAAAGGAAAAAATTTGCAATCACACTTATAACACATATCAGAATCTGCAATATAAAGTTGGGAGAAACTTTATTGCCTGCTATGACATGTTTAGTTTAGTATAGTGAGTACATTGACTACCGAACAAGAGGTCTATAATATACTGCCCTACTGACCTGTTGAGTCAGAGGGTGAAAGGGAGAGGGAGAGAGAGTGGCAGAGGTCAGAGAGGTCAGAGCGGGAGGGAAGGAAGCAGGCGAGGTAGTCTGCCACCGACATCACTAGCAGCTGCTCCGCCCTCCCCTCTCCTGAATACTGATCATACTCCTGTTAATGGGAATTTGGCAGTTTAAAATATTTCAACTTTGAGAACCCAGCCCGATGATTGTCAAGGATGCTGTTGTACAAATTGGTGGGGAGGTTCCATGGTTGCCCCTTACACAACGATATCAGTGAAATTCTCTGATACTACAGCTTACGCGAGGTGCCTGGGAGACAATGACGATGGTGGGAGAGGTTCCTGAGATCTGGAGATGATTGGCGTACCACACACCTGCTCTGAACACCAACCTGTAACCACACCCACACAATTACACTCGACCGCGCCCACTACCCAAAGCCACACCCACCTCATGTGCCATTGGGGCGTGGTCTCGTCAGGTCGCCGAGGTGAGAAGGTCTGCAAATGGTGTTCGTTGCTGAAGAGAACACATCTCTTGACGGAGGAATGGAGGAGATCTCGAGCTGCCCGGTAGCTCTGTCTACCTGCCTTCACCTTCAGCTGCGTGTGTGTGTGGGGGAGGGGGGAGGGGGTGGAGCATACACTGAGAGAGAAGGCCTGGCCAATAAAACGAACAACAAAACTTCACGACAAATCCAGTTTTCTTCAATTTTTAGCACACCACGTAAACCGGCTGAATTCGTTGGAGAAAAGTTGCTTCTACATGATTTATGAACGGTTTTTCTCGCAAAACTTTTAGTTATACGGTAGGGCCAATAAGTACGTATTCTCCAGGTCTTAAATATTGACAACCGATGGAGCAATTGTCATATGTATATACAACTGAGGCAGGGAGGTTGACCTACACGAGAGAGGCTTGTCTGGAGAAGGATGAGGTCAGATATGGCAGGGTTCTGCCAAAGCTCCCGGAAGTTCTGCAGGCACTCCGCATCAGGTAGCACATAGTGCGAGACACTGCCACTCAGCTGTCTTCTTGCTGCAAGCAAGAGTGTTACACTAGACCAATGGCGATGTATTTAGTGAACTGACATGAGTGCAAAATTTCAGTGAATCACCAGTACAGTGTAAGTAGAGCTGTGAATGTAATGATATTCATTGAAAACCACAAGCAAATGGTACTGAACTGAGTATAAGAAGCTGGAGCAGAGCGACAGAAATCACTCTGGTCTTCCTTCAGAGCGAATAAATCTTTCGCCTTTTACTAAAGATTTCCGTGGAGGAGGACACACTATGAGTGTGTAACAATTTTTTTCGGCCCTCTCTGAGGGCGACCAAGTGAAACAAAAATCAAAACTTGCATGCATGAAGATGAAACACACTACGTAAGCTTACATCGCACCTACCTTTGCTTACTGAGGGAAGCTCTCTGCAAAGGATGCAGAGTTCGCTTCCGCACGACAGGTCTTCACGGAGGTAGTGCTCCCTCACAACACTGACGTAACTTCTCTTCCCGCGGCCGTAGCTCAGACGAACCTCTTTCTCTAGTCGCTCTCCCTGCGCCATCGATCTTTTAGAGGGTCCGTGTCTAATTCCGTGGACAAGGGGTTAGCTAGAAATTCCCTAACAAAATTACGGAATTTTACGGTCCTTCGCGGGAAATTCAAAGCGAGATAATAATCGCGTGGAGAGAGAGGATGCAGTCAAAAGATGCAGAGTCAATCAATGGCTGCAGTGCAGGAAGCGATTCTAGAAGGCAGAGACAAGTCAGTTATTTCCACAGGCCTACAGCTACACATCATTTCTCTACTGTCCGTTGTCTGATCGCTTGTTTATTCATTCCCCGCGATCTCTCTCCGTGTAGCCTCTCTGTCCTCACACGCGTACACACTCGCAGGCGGCTGTCAGTTCTACTGGTATCCTGGTCTCCCAGGAGCCGTGGCAGCTCCAATAGACGAAGAGGGAACCACTCTACTCCACCTAGCAGCCAATACCGACAACCCCAGAGTAATGGTTCACTAGCTATGCACGCACGATGAGAGCTAGGGTGATACATGAGTTTTCCACGCACTTGCATCGAGTTAGCCCATACCATAAGTAAATTTAGCTACACTGATCGGTCTTGGAACAGTTTCACTACATATATAGTGCTCTGCACAAGTCTAGAACTTCACAAACACTAGTTCTGACTGCCTCTTGCACTGATCCAATGAAGCAGTTTTGGCAGGTAATCTTAGTCTCCAAAAACTTTCGCTCCTCCGCTTCATGGAGTAGTTCTGACTGCCTCTATATACAACATGTATTGAATCACGAAATGTGACTGATTCTGCAGTTGTTGACTGTCCTATTGGACCGGGGAGTTGAGGTGAATGCCAGGAATGGAGATGGTTTCACTGCCCTCCACGTGGCGGCCATGTGGGGCAGGGAGGGGAGCCTGAGACAACTGCTGAGCAGAGGGGCTGACCCTCTCATTGTCGATAACGAGGACATGACTGCATTGGAGTGCGCTGAGGGTGAAGGTCAGAGCAACACATCGTTAATTCCACATCCAATTCACTATCTATATACTGTGTAATTCTGGCTGCAGCCCTTAGCTTCAGTCTCAGCCAGTAGGAGGTTACATCCACCTGACAGGCAAACTTTGTGGCAAAACGTTGCTGATTGGCAAATCTGCATAACAACGATTGATCAAACTGTGGAAAAACCGACTTTGTGGTTTGAAAGCCTTGCCAGTTTACTTACAGTATATACATACATACTGTACCTATGTGCTCTATTTGAATGGGAGTAATCGTTCCTCAGGTCACTGGCCGTGTGCGGCACTACTGCGCAACTGGAGACCTCTGGTGTCGAAAGAGAACAACTCAATCTCTGCCAACTGTCGCTGTGGCTCACCCTCATATCCAACCAAGACCCACCCTCTCTCTCCTCCCTCTCCCCTCCCTGCTGGTGACGACACGGTGGACCAGAGCATGGCTGAGACCTTCGTGTCCATGTACCTCGACATGACTCAGGTAAATGAGCTGGTGTGTTTATCGAACAGATGCGTGTCTCTGCTAGTGAAGCTATTACAATATCCCTGAACATAGTCAGATGACACTGCAATAAACTAAGCCCTAAGTAGTATATAGAGTACACAAATGCTAAACTGTCACATGTGCATTTTTGATTTTGGTTTGATTATGGTTCGCCCTCAGAGAGGGCATAAAAAAATTGTTACACACTCATAGTGTGTCCTCCTCCACGGAAATCTTTAGTAAAAGGCGAAAGATTTATTCGCTCTGAAGGAAGACCAGAGTGAATTGAAGCTCTTCCTCGCCGTTTATGTACCCAAAGTGTGCTGCAGTGCTTGTGGTTAGTCAATGAATAACGTAATGAGCTGCGCGCGCATCCACATTTCTCAGCGGTGTCCTTGTGGTTTTAGTCAATGAATATCCTATGACCTGCGCGCGCCGCATTCAAATTGCCTTTGCAGGTGCCAGGTGACCTGACAGAAGTAACAGAGCTGTCACACCTCACTGAAAGCCCTTCTCTCCTGGAAATCCTCACCCCCAACAACCTGAAACTGCCTCCCAACACTCCCCACCATCACTCAGAGCACACCTCCACCACCACTCCAGACACTGAGACCAATGACTCTGAAAATGCTATCAGTAACTGCTACTCACCACCAACAGTCCCCAAGTCTTCCTGTGTCCGTAGACTTGACCTCACTTACCGTCTAGCTGCATCTAACAGTGAGAGAGACACAGACAAGCCAGTAAGAGGAGATCGCTCACAAAAGACTGGGGAGACATCTCTTCTGGCTTTAGATTTGAGAGTCAATCTTCCTCCCAAGATGAAGCCCACTCTGACTTGGATGAAGAACTGTTTACTACCGCCATTGAGCCTCACTCCCCTCCTCTCTCTTCTCCCTCTCCTGCCTCACCCACACCTTTCCTTGCTGAATCCTTGAGAAAGATCCAGCTGAGGAGACAAGTCCTCAACTCAATCTCATCACAGCCCCCAACAAACAAGTCGCCCCGTACCCTCGCTTCCTCTTCTCCAACCTCTGTCTCGCTTCAAAAGAACCGTTCTGAAGCCCTATCCCTCTACGTACGTGCTCATTCTCTCACCTCACAACCCAAATCCTCCTCTTGCACCAAGACCAAGCCGGCAGAGAGTCAGTCTTACCTGCGTTGGCCTCTCGTGGAGCGACTTTCTCTCACACCGGCTGTCCTCTCCAGCGACTCAGACTCAAGTCACGTGTTTGAGTCTCGTTCCCTCGGCGTCCCGCCACGCCTCCAGAAACTGACCAATCAGGAGCTGCGAGGGGAGCTGCTGGCCCGAGGAGAGCAGCCGGGGCCCGTCACTGACAGCACGCGGTGTGCCTATCTCGTCTACCTGGCCAAACTGGAGGCAGGCATCCAGCCTTCTGGAAACACCGGTTATAAAGGTGAGCCCCGGCAATTATTAGCTCAACTACTAAAATGTGTGACCCAAACGTGATGAATTTTAAATTGAAGCTGGAATAATGTTACCCAATTAAAAAAACAAGGTTGGCAGTCAAGTACAACAAGGACAGCTATCTTTTCAAGGAAAAAAGCACCCATGGTAGGATTTGGACCAACATCTATACATTATGTTTCTGTACCCATGTACTGTGGATTACACAAGCAACCCTCATTACTTTGTTCTATTGTATATCTGATCACAGGCTACAAGTATGAGCTGGCTCTGGTTCTCAATGGCACTGCCCCAATCCCCGACTTCTCCTCTCTGGAACACCAAGTCTTCCATCGCTTCCGAGCGTCTCGTCTGCCCAGCTCACCCCTCCGCACCCTCCCCTCCATCACCTCCCCCGCCTTCCCCCTCCCCCTCTCCCTCTCCCGTACCCCTCCCACCTCCCCTCGCTCCAAGCGAGATTGGTCCACGAAAACACACTTCAACTATCTACTGGTGGACCCTACCAAACTGGGAACACTTTGTCGTGGAGAGAAGAGTCTGCAAGGTTTCAGAAAGTTTGTCGAGGCCGTGTTTTACGTCGGTAAGGGAAAGAACGCGAGGTCACTCCAGCATTTGAAAGACGCCAGAGATAAGCTGAACCTTCCCCAGAACAGGGTGAGCCGGCTAAAGTTAACTCGGGGAGCGAAAGTTTGTCTTATAGTGGAATGAATGCAACACTATATTTTGGAAAGCAAAAAGCGAGCAAATAAAGGCCGCTGACAACATGCGTAGGAAAGGGATGAAAGATTGGTGAGTGAAGTGAGCCTTTATAAAAAGTCGTCTAAATGCGTGATTTTTCTATTCGAATGTGACAGGCACTGCACAAACCGCGCCGTAATGTTCTACGTTGAACTGCTCGCACTCGCTCGCCAGATTAAAAATGCACAGTCCCTCTATTCCTCTTCAGTTGTCAAGGAAGTTTTCACGCATCCTCAACATCTGGAAGTCAGGCCAGGGGGTGGTGTCTCTCCACGTGTTCCACAACACCACCGCGGAGGAGGCCTTCTGCAGAGAGGCCTGCATGATCAACACCATCGGTAAGATCCCAATCATGCAGCTCTGATGTATAGCTTCTCTGGGTTGTATGTCTTGTGTTATTATTGGCTATTCGCAATTTACGTGGAAAATTTTCATGGTTTGGTCCCAAACTGTGTCTTTGTGTAAAACAACTTTTCTCACTGGATTTTTACGTATCACAACTTTCATTGTGTAACCAAATACAAGTTAACTAGCGAGAGGGAGTGAGTGAAGGGTGACGGTGGCGCATGCGCGGGTAGTAGGCTCACCGCGTGTCCAAGCAGAGAGTGGGCAGTTTGTGTGTCTCTAAGGTCAGCGGCACACCTCAACAAGCAGAGTAGTTAAAAGCATAAGTAAAGTGTAGTTTTCCCCCCACTCGCAGGGCTGGATGTGCTAACCAACAAAGCAGAGAGGTTCATTGTACGGGGAGATGGCCAGCTGGAGTTCCAGCAGGAGACGGCAGTTTGGAGTATATCTACTCCACAAGGCATTCCTCTCTTACCTCCTTGACCCTCCCCAGCCTGTGGGACTGGACGACCTTTGAACCCCGAGCTCTATTCAACACAGTCTCAGTTTTCTCCTTCCTTTGCACATGCACACAGTGTACAGGTTTTATATTATATCAGTGTCTTTTTGCCTGAAATGAATATTTGCAGTTCCGTATAATTTCATATATTCATTCTCATTTTTGTAAAGTCATTATTAACGCTGAATGTGTTTTGTATATACAAGAAAAAGGACAAACGATTGGAATCACACGCTAGGATTACGTGCTGGCTAATGTCGAAAATGAAACTCAACGGAAAACATAACAAGAAAAGAGGGCGGTGCGATCGAGAGGGAGTTCAGATCTGGTCAAGTCTCTGATAGACGAGGTCTCTCTTCTCCAGAGCCTTCCACGCCATCTCTCTCTCCTTCCTCCCCACACTCCGCCTTTTCTGACGAGCGGAAACAAACTTCTTCAGACAGTCTATCACCTCCTCATCCGTCTGCGACAACAACACGTTTTAACCAAAGTTAACTAAATCCTGTCCCTTTTTAACAACACGTTGGTTTGTCCACATCATATATCGTTATATAGAGCGAATGCAACACATTCTTGGCGAGTTTTTGCGCAAGTATTCAGAACCATGTAAAGTATCATGGTACATAATTATGTGCATTGTGCAGCTCCTGTCAATATAGCATACATTCAGACGACTAGATAGGCTTGCTTCACTCTCCAATTACTCCACAATAGGTTGAAGGGAATGTGTCAGTACATAAGGGCTAAATAAAAAATTTGCTAAAAACAGAGCTCAATTGCATTCTTTCACTGTGCCCCCATTCTATCTTTAGTGACATTTCTAAATGTAGCCCTTTATGCTGCTGCATTCTCTGTGATGTGCAAGTGTATGTATATATATACCTCTTGTGCCTCTTTCCTGATTTCCTGCCTCTCTATCTCGGTCCTGGCCAGACTCGCCAGTGTCTGCAGCTGTTGGCGATTGAACTCCGACTGAAACACCAGCGAGAGGGAACAGAGAGAGGGGAAGAGAGTGGAGACAATAGTGACTGCTAGTGCTTACCACTGCCTTCAGTTCTGCCTGTTTCCTGGTCAGCTCCATCAGTATCTCGTCTTCTTCTGTCTTCTCCTCGTTCATCTGTACACCATACATCCAAATAGACACACACTGAATACTTCCACAGAATGAACATAATGCTGGTGTGACTCCTGGGTACACTTCCATGGAAATGACCCTTATCAGGCTTCACCCACTAGCCCCGCCCACTGACCCCACCCACTAACCTCAGGAGGCTCAAAAAGCCCCAGTAACGTAAGTTCGTCTTTGATCCTGTCCTCCAGAGCTCTAGTGGAGGGGACGTTGAGGATGGGCGATGGTCTTTCCTGTGGAGGCAGAGGAGGTCTCCCACTGCCCTGGGGGTCCTCTATGAACGCCTGCGAGGACACAACACAAAGTTAACCAAGTTGTATTTTGTTTTCTAGATATCCTTTGGACAATAGCTTGAGCCATTCGCTAAAAAATTTCTTTGTCAAATCTGGTGTTTTGGAGCAGAATTCGTATTTGGTATACACAACAGCAAAAGTTTCCCAGTTCTGACGATTTTCTCCAGCCCAGCATATTATGGCAAAGAGTTGGGGAAATATACTTTAGCCACTAGTGAAAGCATTTTCAGCAAAGCAACAGAACGAGTTGGTGTGTATATAAGGTAGTGAAGAAAGAGGAGGTGGGATATGAAGTGAGAGAGAGTTGGTGTTGAGCTCACCGCCATGAGACGCTGGGTGAGGGGACAGTGGGTCTTGGATGACCGGCCCAGAGACTCAGCCTGCTTCAGCAGCGACTCTGTCACATGATAATCACATGACAATGAGACCGTCACACTTACAAACCTTACGTACCCCTTCTATACTTTCTACACTACCTCAAAGCACAACACTTTACATAGCATTAGTGCCTCGAGCAACTTAAAAGTACTGTATTAGTGAGATGGATTTGTGCGAGGAAGGTTAAACGCTCGACTAGAAGTGCTGTCTATTGTACAACTTATATTCTAGAGTTGTGTGAGACTTTGTCTTGCAAATTTATCGTGTAATTTTGACTAAGGAGAACTTGCTATATATGTACATCAAGCCTATGTGTAGGGTTCAGATACTAGACTAGTGAGCTGCACACATACCGGAGTCTCTCTGCCAGTCTCTGCCGGAGCCCCGGTTGCCAGTGTCCACATTCTCCATGGCTCTGCCCGCCTCTCTCCTCTCCTCCTCCATGTCCTCCATTGCCCAGTGGCGAGAGTAGTGCCTGCCCAGGGCCGGCACAGAGTGCACCTCGTCTCCGTCTATCTGCAGAACAACAACACTCGAGGGTTAAACCTTCCTTTCTATCCCGTCTCCCTCCCATTAACTCATCACTCCCTGTGTCCCCCTCTTCTCTACCACCTTACTTACTCTTCCCTCTCCCTTCCCTCTTCCTCCCCCATAGAAACCCTCTCTAAGAGCACCTCTGAAATGAGGACACCTCTCAATAAGGACACCTTTTATTGTCCAGAAGATAGTTTCATGTCTCTTGAAAAAAGGGTACCTCGTTAAAATGGACACTTTCTTCTGTCTAATTGGGGTCCAGATTAGAGGGTTCCGCTGCGTAACCTCCCCCCTCCTTTCCTAAGAACCCAGTTCCCTGAAAGAGGTACCGCTCTCCCTTGAACTCACACTCTTCAAGTCTTCCTGGAGAAGATGTATGTCTGCCTCAGTGATGTCCGCACAGTATGGCTCTACTGCGGCCCAGAAACGATCAGGGGCATCCCCTTTTCCCCTGTAATCATTCACACACACACACAACACGACCTTCAAATACACCTTCAATGTATGGTACTACATGTACAGTACATAATAATGCAGAAAAATCTGGTATTTGAGGATGAGCACAGGCACATATGGACCTGTATAGTCAGGCTTGAGAATTCTTTATACCTTCGAGGCCCAAACTGACTTTAAAGGCCCGCATTAGTCAATTTCTTGTCACTGTATATGTGGTCTATGGTGAGTGAATAAACCTAGGTTCACAATACATACATCACATTGCCCAGTTGCGAAGACAGAAATGGATTTTATCCTCGCGATGTGGCGCGGGCGCGACAGGGAAATGTGATGTGAATTGTGAACCCCGCCTTACTTTGACTTGTGTTTGCTGGCGTGTGGTTCGATGGCGGCCTCTGTCGGGTGCGTTTTGTTCTTCTTGGTATGTCGTGGGGGAGGGGTGGGTTCCTGGTCGGTCTTTTGTCTCTTGGTCACAGAGGAGGGGCGGAGACCAACCTCGCTGGCATCACTCAACTTCCTCCTGACAGACGGACAGAGAGAGAGAGAGAGGAGAGAGAGAGGGGAGACATGCAGTGTAAACCAGTGGAAAGGTGAAAACAACGAGGTCATTGTTGGTCAATAAGTTTTTTTGGAGAGGTGAGACGAAGTGTTTCAAAATTTAGGACGGTGGAAAGAGGGTTTTTGCAGACTGGGGGGAGAGGTCATGTTTGGCAAAGATGAGATGGGGGGGGGTGAGGGAGGTGAGACTCACTTTCTGTTGTAGTCTCTCTTGACCTGCCAGTCGTTCAGAACCACCAGCTCTGACTCCAGCAACTGGATACGTCTTCACAACATGCCGTACATAGTATGTAACACATTAACTATGGTATAGCTATAATGTATATACCTCTGTATACTGGTGTGGAGAGCCTGTAGGTCAGTCTGTAGGCTGTCCAGGTCATCCACCAGTATCATCTCATCTGCCAAACAAACACACAAACAAACAAATAAACAAACAAAACACGTAAACAAACAAACAAACAAACAATTTGTGTAGAAATGGAGGGTAAAGTGAAAGAAATTGAGTTGAGCGGTGCATCGTTTGTCGTACATAATCATATACGAAGCGAAGAGTAACCATTCATTTTCAACCTCCTCTATCAAATCAAGAGATAGTGAAAAACATCTATATTCGAGACTACAAAAGTCTAGAAGATAGGCGGAAAAAAACACTTGGTTCTCATAATTTCGTAAGTCAGGTCTCACCTGGTCTGTCAAGCATTGCAGAGTACACTGGGCAGTGCTGGAGAAATGGAAGGTCTTCTAACACCTTAGTAAAGCCAGGCTACTTACTGGCCACGCCCATCCATTACCTGTTGATGATCGAGCTGTTGAAATTCGTAGAACTGAAGCGGACACGGTTGATTCTGGAGAGCGAGCGAGGGAGAAGATACATCGAGAAATACGCTGTATCCACTTACCTCAGACGGAGACGACTCCATACTATGTGTAGTGCACTTCTCCAGTTTTCCGTTAACTCTAAATAAAGCGCTCTTGCTTATTCTAAATAAAGCGCTATATCACGTGCAATTAGTTCGCAATTTCGGGGGTGTACGTAAGGTCTTCTGCAGCAGAGCGCTGGAGCAAGAGCGCTAGTACTGTAGGACAACCGGCTGGTAACCTTGCCAAGTTGGCTACTCAGGATTGAGAGGGCATAGAGGCATATTCCTGGCAGGCTGCGGGAAAAGCACGTAAGATCTCCTGTTTACATGCCGTACGAGAAAACACGGGACTAGAAGGAGGCGTACCTCATTTAGCTACTGCTGTTTCACTAGTGGTTTGTGTTGCGGCGAATGACGTTATGTAACGTTGTCTGATGTGGTGCTTAGTGCTTGAGAGGCGACAGAAAGAAACAGAGCTTTCTGTAATTTCTGCAGACCTCCCCACAACTCTTACTCAATTGGGAAAATAGTTGTGTTTTTGGGGCAACTAGTCCATTCACGCAGCCACATCTAGTTTTCAAACAAATGTAGCCTTTTAGTCCTCTGTTTACTTGAGCATCAGCTAATAAGGCTAATAAGCATGCAAAGCAACTAGTATGTACATACATGTATGTACACTGTATGCACTGCGGACATTTTTTTGGTGTTTTACGATTGTGTTTTTTAAGCTTCTGTTTTGTTATCTATCTTCAGTTTCAATCTGGGAAGTCTGTGTGGACGTGATGAGTTCCTCTGTAAGCCCCTCCCACCTGGCACCGCCCAGCGATGTGGTGCCGCTACTGAACTCCGTGATAGACGTCTGTTTGGTGTACGGAGTTGATGAGACAAGTTCTAGAGAGATTCCTGTGACAGAGGAGGGGGTGAGGGAGGGAGGGAGGGAGGGGAAGGAGGAATTCTCCATTGATCCAATAGCAACCTTCATTTGTGTGATACCTTATTTCGCTATACAGTGGAACATCTGATAAGGGAACCTCTAAGATAGGGACGACCTCTACTAATACTTTAGTGTATTATTTGACCTCCGAGATAGGGACGACCTCTCTACAAAGGACACCACATGCTAATACTTTAGTGTATTAATTTGACCTCTAAGATAGGGACGACCTCTCTACAAAGGACACCACATGCTAATACTTTAGTGTATTATTTGACCTCCGAGATAGGGACGACCTCTCTACAAAGGACACCACATGCTAATACTTTAGTGTATTATTTGACCTCCGAGATAGGGACGACCTCTCTACAAAGGACACCACGTGCTAATACTTTAGTGTATTATTTGACCTCCGAGATAGGGACGACCTCTCTACAAAGGACACCACGTGCTAATACTTTAGTGTATTATTTGACCTCCGAGATAGGGACGACCTCTCTACAAAGGACACCACATGCTAATACTTTAGTGTATTATTTGACCTCCGAGATAGGGACGACCTCTCTACAAAGGACACCACATGCTAATACTTTAGTGTATTATTTGACCTCCGAGATAGGGACGACCTCTCTACAAAGGACACCACATGCTAATACTTTAGTGTATTATTTGACCTCCGAGATAGGGACGACCTCTTACAAGGGACAAAATAATTGTCCCCACAGTGTTCCTTGTTCAGAAGTTCCTAAGCCCTTATTTGTCTCTTTCCCGCTGTCCCTATGTACCTCACATACATATCTCCCCCCTGTTTGCCCCTATCTCTATTCCACTCCAGTTTTGTTGTTCTAGCAAAGAATGCTACTGATCTCACTCCAGTTTTGTTGTTCTAGCAAAGAATGCTACTGATCTCACTCCAGTTTTGTTGTTCTAGCAAAGAATGCTACTGATCCCACTCCAGTTTTGTTGTTCTAGCAAAGAATGCACACACACACACACATGAAAACCCAACCACGTGATGGCAAAGTTTGCTCAACAAAGCTGTTTATCAAACTTGACTCTGAGATACTACTGTACTACAATTTAACCCCACTAGCACAGAATAAAGTGTCCATATTAGTGAGGTGTCCTTTATTCACTGTTAATTTAATGCAAACTGCTTTGGGGAAGAGAAAAGGTGTCCTCATCTCAGGGGTGTCTTTAGAGAGGTTTTTTACATTTCCGCAGGACATCAACTCTGTGTACCAGAGTCTTCTGGAGAGGGAGATCAAACTCCACTTCCTCCAGATTCTTACCCCGGGGGCCGTCTATCCCGACCGGGTCTCCAGACCCAATATTTGGCCCCCGGGGGGCACCTCCTCCCCCGACCAGGGGGGCAGTGTGGAGGGAGATGTGGAGAGCAGTATTCATACCACACATTCCAAGAGGTTCAAGATGAACAAGGGAGGGTTGCCGTGGGAGACGGTGGAGACCGTCCACTGGTTCATGTATCCAGGTCAGTGTCCCATTGCTCGATGCCTGTCCCGTTTGGTGATGACTTACTCATTATTATTATTTCGTATTAGTGAATGCAATGCTGTTAGTGTTTTTGCCATTCTACTCTCTCTGTTCTCCTCAGAGGGTCCACAGCTGTCTAGTGAGGACATTGAGCCATCCATCATCCCCATGCTCTTCACCAACATCGAGGGCACCAGGTCTTACGCCTCGGGCCTCAGGTTCTGCCGGCCTTTCTTCATCCAGAAGGTGAGTCAGACCTTTCTCCTCCATCTCCTCCTTCCTCCTTCTTCCTCCGTTCTCTTTCTCTTTTTGTCCAAGTCCTGTCTCTCCTTCTCTTCCCCACTCCCTCAGTTGGACGGCAGTAACTTCTACAACATCATCTCCTGGGAGTCAGGGAAACGTAAGCAGCACCAACCAACCACACAATATGCTACATTTAATCGTTAATATGCGTACATGCGAGGTGTGAAATAGAGTTTGAAGTAGACACTTTTTTGGAAATTCCACAAACTCAGTTTTTGGTCAAATTTTTGAATGGTTTGCGTCTATCGTGTGCCTGTCAATGTATTGTATTTCGGATGAGGGAGAGGGAGAGAGAGAGGGAGAGAGAGAGGGAGAGGGAACTGTCGTGTCATATTTGCAGCAGGTAATGGTCTTAATGCAAACTGCCATATCGTGCATGCGGATACATTTGGTACTTCGTAAATTTTTTGAGTATAATAATTATACCAACATAATGTTTTGTCTTTCTCTCTATTTTTATGTCTAGCACCACCCCCATTAAATACATGGACTCTATTCTCCCTCCCTCTCCCGTCTCTCCCCTCTGCAGAACCTCCACCCAACAGTAAACTGGTGTACCTGCCGACATGTGTGGTTCTGGTCTCGAAGTCTCCTCACTTCCAGTTTCAGAAAGACGCTCTCTCGGGGTATGCAATACTCTCTCATTCACAACTACTCAACTAGAGATAGTGTGTATGTTACAACCTACTCACTCTTAGAGAACAATCTTTTAGTAGAAGGACGCTCTCTCGGGGTATGCAATACTCTCTCATTCATAACTACTCAACTAGAGATGTAGTGTGTACATTACAACCTACTCACTCTTAGAGAACAATCTTTTAGTAGAAGGACGCTCTCTCGGGGTATGCAATACTCTCTCATTCACAACTACTCAACTAGAGATAGTGTGTATGTTACAACCTACTCACTCTTAGAGAACAATCTTTTAGTTGAAAGACGCTCTCTCGGGGTATGCAATACTCTCTCATTCACAACTACTCAACTAGAGATGTAGTGTGTACATTACAACCTACTCACTCTTAGAGAACAATCTTTTAGTAGAAAGATGCACTCTCGGGGTATGCAATACTCTCTCATTCACAACTACTCAACTAGAGATAGTGTGTACAGTTACAACCTACTCACTCTTAGAGAACAATCTTTTAGTTGAAGGACGCTCTCTCTGGGGTATGCAATACTCTCTCATTCACAACTACTCAACTAGAGATAGTGTGTATGTTACAACCTACTCACTCTTAGAGAACAATCTTTTAGTTGAAGGACGCTCTCTCGGGGTATGCAATACTCTCTCATTCACAACTACTCAACTAGAGATAGTGTGTATGTTACAACCTACTCACTCTTAGAGAACAATCTTTTAGTAGAAGGACGCTCTCTCGGGTATGCATACTCTCTCATTCATCAACTACTCACTAGAGAGTAGTGTGTATGTTACAACCTACTCACTCTTAGAGAACAATCTTTTAGTTGAAGGACGCTCTCTTGGGGTATGCAATACTCTCTCATTCATAACTACTCAACTAGAGATGTAGTGTGTACATTACAACCTACTCACTTTTAGAGAACAATCTTTTAGTAGTGGCCACGTTATGTAAAAGTACAAATGAGAGTTGCACAGCATGTGTGAAAGCATGTGTACGTATGTGTGTGTGGAAGTGCTATTGAATCTGATTGAAAATTGGCCACTGCCGTCCAGCAACCTTCAAACCCATCCAATTGCTACAGTCTTCTACTAAATCACGTAATTATTTCACGGCTCACTTTCGTATAATGGTACCTTTCACAATAAGAATACTTGAAATATTCGCAGTTCTTCAGCTATCCACTGATCTGGTTGATACATACATTCATACTGGTAAAATTTCAATCGCTGGCTGCATGTTTTAACCCCCTTCCTCCCTGCCTCCCTGCCCGGTGTCCCAGGTTCCATCGGAGGTGGTGTGAGCAAGAAGAGAGCTCCATGGGGTTCTGGCAGTGTGTCCAGAGATTCACAGAGAGACTGTTCCTCGTTCCAGCCCCACCCCCCGGCCTCCTCTCCGTGGTGGGTGTGGCTTCGTACCTCAGTCTCCCTCGGCAACTAAATGTGCCATCCCTTTCTCTCTCCTCTCTCCACTCAGGAATGTCTTCTTCCAGGATTCACATCTAGTCTTGTCATTAGACCTCCACGCAGAGGTAGGCTTAAACTACAGAGAATTTTCAGTGGCCTAGTGCGAACTGGTGAAAATTGGGAGCAGTACTTAGCTTATTTTTAACCCTCGGTGTGCATGCGCAGCAAGGGTTATGAAATAGTTTCAGCGATCGAGGCTTGAGGACGGCAAAACCATTTTCAAGGGGGATGTCTGCCTTCCCCCCAGACAAAACAGAATAATGCCACCCACCTATCTTCTCTTCCTCACTCTCTTCTCGTCCCTCTCTCTCTCTCTCACCAGCAATTTACCCAGACATCCGCCTCCACTACCCGTTCATCTGCCTGTCTCTGGACAACGTTCTGAAGGTTATGGCTGCCCTCCTCACTGAGCAGAGGATCATCTTCATCTCTTCCCTCTATCCAATGCTTACCTACGTCATCCAGGTAAGCAAGCCCACTTTATTTTTGTTGGTCAATTTTTCATTGGTACAGGTTTTTATTCTGTATAGTTGGAAGTTTTTGTTGGTCATAATTTTTTTGCCGTGGGTAAAGCTTTTGCATGTGTGTCTCAATCCATAAGCCCTTCAATTTTTTTCACGGTCGTAACATTCATAAACGTAAAAATCCTCTCTCTCTCTCTCTCCTCTCTCTCTCTCTCTCTCTCTCTCTCACTCACACACACAAACAAACATAGTGCTTTCTCCACTATATCTACCCGTTTGACTGGCGGCTCCCTTGTGTTCCCATACTCCCGTTCCTACAAATTGACTACCTGGACGCCGTGGGCAGCAACATCATGGGTTGCCATGCCAACATGTCCAGGACTCTCGAGTTTCAGAGTGTAAGTTTCGTGATCATGACAACTGTTGCCATGGCGTAGGTTACCGGCAGACTGTTTATCTATTTTAACAGATTTATTTCAATATCCTTGAAAAATGGATTTATGTGTCCTAATCTTTGTTCTCGAGCATGCATGCACCCTGTTTCACAGCTTTTTAGTATTTTTCTCTCAAAAATCGAGATTGATTTTCGCCCCAATAAAAAAACACTATACAGTAATGCAAGAGAGAGAGTGTATATAATTATAGACAGAGACAGAGTGTTCACGGGCATGCATGCACCCCTGTTTCACAGCTTTTTAGTATTTTTCTCTCAAAAATCGACAATTGCATTTTCGCCCAAATATACAGTAATGCAAGAGAGTATACCTCTCTCTGTGTGACAGATGGAGGATGTGTATATATATAATATACCACTCTCTGTCTCTGTGACAGATGGAGGATGTGTATATATATAATATACCACTCTCTGTGTGACAGATGGAGGATGTGTATATATATAATATACCACTCTCTGTCTCTGTGACAGATGGAGGATGTGTATATATATAATATACCACTCTCTCTCTGTGTGACAGATGGAGGATGTGTATATATATAATATACCACTCTCTGTCTCTATGACAGATGGAGGATGTGTATATATATAATATACCACTCTCTGTGTGACAGATGGAGGATGTGTATATATATAATATACCACTCTCTGTCTCTGTGACAGATGGAGGATGTGTATATATATATACCACTCTCTGTCTGTGACAGATGGAGGATGTGTATATATATAATATACCACTCTCTGTCTCTGTGACAGATGGAGGATGTGTATATATAATATACCACTCTCTCTCTGTGTGACAGATGGAGGATGTGTATATATATAATATACCACTCTCTGTCTCTGTGACAGATGGAGGATGTGTATATATATAATATACCACTCTCTGTCTCTGTGACAGATGGAGGATGTGTATATATATAATATACCACTCTCTGTCTCTGTGACAGATGGAGGATGTGTATATATTATAATATACCACTCTCTGTCTCTGTGACAGATGGAGGATGTGGTGATAGTTGATCTGGACTCCGACCTGGTCACCTGTAAACTGAAAGAGCCTCTTTCTCTCCCCTCCCTCCCCTATAACCCCACCAAGACCTTCTGCAGCAGGTATCACCATGCATCTAGATACACATCACACACCTCTTGGTTAGGTCAAAACTGCCGCAGCAGGAGAAAATTATGGGTTGAGACCACATAGGATTTTAACAAGAAATTTTTTGAGTGAGTGTGGAACCAGTTTGGGAATGCAAGAATGACAGGTGTATTTTCTGGTCTTATTTTTGTTACTCTATCTCACTCCAGATACGAACAATTGGTGAAGGCAAATTTTGAGGTCGAACAACTGAGAAAGTAAGTTCGGTCTAGAATATTCAGTTCAATGCACATCTCCTCTCTAATTTTTGAAATATATTTCATGTAGCTATCGTCTTGTAAATGCACATGGTCCTCTGATACGTACGTATGTCCTCCACAAACTAGTGTAATAAATCTGTATTAATTGGCATAGTAGCAATCAAGTCACGAAGTTCAAAATGTGGCCGGGAACCCCGCAACCCCTCCTCCTCATCTCTCCTCCTTCCTTCTCTTCCTCAGACTGTCTCACATGTCATCAGACGACCTCCTCAGAGAGAAGACAGAGTTTGAACAGCACTACGACAGCTGCCTCTCAGCCAGTGAGTCACATGACCAGTCACGTGACAATCATGTGATCCATGACATCATTCCCCCACAGTGTTCCTGGAGCTCATGGTCAACATCTACTAGTAAGTTACATACAAATTGGACCACATCGGCTCATGTTTATAAGCACTGTAAAAATGTCAAATTCACGTGTGCATGGAAAAAGTTTTGTACAGTTAGAAAAGATTGCGTGGAAAGTTCTACGTAGTTTTCAGGTGTTTAAGTTCACTACGTGGAACATCTCATAACTAAGCTGGTGGTGAATGTGGCTGAATTTGAAACAAAGCAAGGGATCCAGTCATCCAGTGACCACAGTCATAGCGTAACTGTGAACTACACGGAAGTAAGGCTAGGTTCACAATATAGAGCATTGCCCTGTCGCGCCGTGCCGCTTTGCTGCGCGGCGAGGATAGAATCCCTTTCCATCTTCGTGGCACCACGCGACGCAGCACGGGGGCGATGAGGCAATGCAACACATTGTGAACCTAGCCTTACTCGTCAACTTTACTGTACATCACTTGGTATTTTCTACATGTAAATGGACTCTAGTATATTAGTTCCGTGTGCATCCTGTGTCCCCCCTCCTCCAGTGAGGTGACGGAGAGACTGGTAGAGAGCAGAGTGAAGTTTGACGAAACAGTCAGAGATATGCCACTGGAGGACCAGGCCTTCTACAAACATGTGAGACACACACAGTCTCCTCTGCTATATACCTAAACATATCCATCTCTCCTTGAGCTTGTTCATCGCCATCCTCTTCCTCCACTGTAGGCCAATCATACTGAGATGTTTTCAGCTTTCTACCAATCAAGAAGGTATGTACATGTGTGTATGTGTAGTTGACTTTGTTTGACTTGCCTTGCCTTTCTACCTCGCTACCAAGTTGTTGAGACATGTATAATGTCTTGGCATTGGTACACCTGAGTAAGAGATAGACTGGCTAGGGAGAGTAGAGAGAGAGAGAGAGAGAGAGAGTAGAGAGAGAGAGTAGAGAGAGAGAGAGGTAATGTCTATTCTCTCTCTCTACAGACAGAGAGTGAGGGATGACTTCACTCTTCTGGCCGAACGGATCAAACGCAGCCATCGGAAATCTATAGTCCGTCATTATGACAACCGGTGAAAAATAGAATTTTAAGACCACCCCCCTCTCTCTCAGGACATGACTGATGATCTCAACAGTGTCTTTGTGGCATACAGCACTGCCCAAACCCCAGGCCACACCCCCTTGAGGCCGGTGTTGAGTGCGGGAGTTGTCTACAGCATGGCACCACTCTTCTCCATCCTCTCTCCTCGGAGACCGTGAGCAAACGAATTGGCTTACAAACAGCAACTACTCCAGTTCTTTTACTCAGCGAGCAAAACAAGCCTACCCTAGACATCAGATTTTTGTGTGTAATTTTTTTAATATACTTGTAGACAGCACTGACCCGTATGTAGAACCACTAATTCATTTGCCAGTAATGTGTCAATTCTCTCCCTCCCTCCCCCTCTCTCTCTCCCTCCCTCCCTCTCTCATATGCAGTGCCCAAACCTCAGTGAAAAACTCGGTCAACCATCCTCCTACCACTCCTGCTGGAACAACTGGCACATGTAACTGTTCCGGTTAGAGTCAAATTTTGTCTTATAATCAATTATGGCACCTTTTACAAACTCCGTGGTTTAACTATCTGAACATTTTTATGCATGAAATTGTCGTCGGCAACGAAAAAGTGGAAGTTTTTCGCCGTCAAAAGATGTGCATAGTGTACAAGTAATTACGCTGCCAATAGGATCTCCATTCTTCAGTGTTTTGAAGCTCCCTCTTCTTTCCTCTCCTTTTCGTCAGGGTTAGAGGAGTCAATGAGAGTCTCTCCTCCCATCCCTCCCTCCTCCCTCTCCTTCTTCTCCCCCTCCCTCTCCCCCTCCTCTGAGATGGTGACTGTTCAACTACCTTCTCTGCCGGGAGACTCCTTCGCCAGAGGTACATATACCTTCCTTCCTCTCCCCTTTCCCTCACTGTTTTGGTTAGACAAGCAGATCTAATGAAAGGAGCGGATTTTTATGTCAATTGTTGAAGTTTCTTAGTCTCCTGTGAAAGTACTCTTACTATTTGTCATTTAACTCGTGTGTATTGTACTTCTGGAAAATCCCACTATCCTTTGTTTCTGCAGAGTCATTCATTGCTGATGCTTCTTCAGCTCTCTCAGACCTAACAGACGTACGTGTGTGTGTCCTTTTCTCTTTACATTAATGTGTAGTGATACAACGGAGCCAATAGTACCTCTCTCTCCTCCATCCCTCCCTATCTTCCATCGTTCCCTCCCTGCTATCCCTCCCTCCCCCCTCTTTCCCGCCTCCGTCTCTCCCTCCGTGCAGAACAAGAGTATCCAGGCTCAGTGTATGTATCTCCTGGCATTCTACCAGATCTGCCAAGGGAACATCATACAAGTCAGTCTCTCTCTTTTGACACACATACAAGAACGAATCCCGTGCATTTTTTGGTAGTGATCACGAACAATTCACACCACACAGGCCATGGATGATCTCTATGACAACCTGCCTAAACTGGAGATCAAACTAAGACCTTCCCCGAGGTTAGCGTGTTACCTTCGTTTTGTGTGGTTTTTTTAGAAATTTTCATTTCTTCCATCCCTCCAGTCTGACGCAGAGGATCCTGTCTCTACTGTCAGACGACCAGCTGACGGAAGTGAAGAAGAGATCTACTACCAGTACATCGTCCCCGTCAAGAAGAAGGTTAGTAGTTGGTGGCAGAGTTTGTTGACATTCAGTGGGTGGAGCACTCTGCATACAGAGTGGAGGGTGGTGGTCCCACCTGGGGTAGTTTGTTAATCAGTTGACATTCAGTGGGTGGAGCACTCTGCATACAGAGTGGAGGGTGGTGGTCCCACCTGGGGTAGTTTGTTAATCAGTTGACATTCAGTGGGTGGAGCACTCTGCATACAGAGTGGAGGGTGGTGGTTTCACCTGGGGTAGTTTTGTTAATCGTGGTTGTGTTGTTTCATATGTCCTTGCTTTGCGTTGAGTGACACCGTATGATTCTGTATCCTCTGCTTCTTTTCTCTCGCAGGCAGCAGCAATGAAGAGACATGCAACTAACGCCATGGGCTCCAGAGCTTCTTACAAGTTAGCTGTTCAATTTATTGCCAACACATAGTCAACTTTATTTCCAACATAGTCAACTTTTATCTCACATCATTAACAAGGCTTTCCCTCATAATCTGATATACGTAATTTATTTATTTATGTAAGTATTGGCGTGCTGAGATATATATACTTTATTCCAAATATTGTATGTAAACTTCACCGTAAAAATTGCTGCTAACTCTTCTACAATATAATCTCTGTCTCCCCGCTACAGTTTGGACAGGAAACTACCAACCAAACCACTCAGTAAGACTGACCTGTACATACATACATACTTGTAGCATTAACAGAGTGTTGATAGTGAAATGTTCGAATCAGGACCTTCCACTTAAAGAACACCTCTCTATAAGGGACACTTGGTTCTGCCCCATACTAATACATTAGTTCCTCTGAAGACACCTCTCTATAAGGGGCACTTGGTTCTGCCCCATACTAATACATTAGTTCCTCTGAAGACACCTCTCTATAAGGGACACTTGGTTCTGCCCCATACTAATACATTAGTTCCTCTGAAGACACCTCTCTATAAGGGATACTTGGTTCTGCCCCATACTAATACATTGTATGTAGGTATGTATGTATGTACAAACTGTATGTAGGTAACACAGAGTTCAACAAGCTGGTGAGAGAGAACGCTATAGCGACAGACGCTGAGTCGGCAGACAACCTCTTCAAGATTCTCTCTCAAACCAGAGCTAGTGAGTCACATGATCACATCAGGCAAACATACAGTACAGAGTCACATGATCACACCACATGAACATACAGTACAGAGTCACATGATCACATCACAGTGAACATACAGTACACGTAAGTATGGACCGAGGCTTGCATATGTATGTTATAATGTACAGTATGTGAAAGCTGCTTGAGCTGTAGCCACATTCTTATAGTACATTGTGTTGTTGAAGTTGAATTTTCTTATCTGCATATTTTCAGGTATCAGTCCGCAGACATTTGTTCCTTTCTACGACTCATGGAAACTGGTAATTACATCTCGTATTCACTACTGTACTAAGCCCTCCCTCACACTTTCTACTCTCTTGCTGAACTAAAGCCTTTAATGCTTTCTTCTTGCAAATTATTAACCCTCGGTGCGCATGCGCAGCGAGGGTTACGGTAGTCGTTCTGTGTGTCTGTCTGTCTACGACTATTCTCGCTACGAGGCAGCTTATGAGCGATACCAACAGCTTTAGCGGTACATGGGCTAGAAAACTAAAATGGCGATTTTCCTGAAACAACTACGCGACAAACTGGCACGGTCCCCGTGGCTGGAAACCGTTCGTTGGAACAGTTGCAACACCGTCTCAGGGGCTTCAGACGTCCGAACTTCTTCCTACGCTACTGACGAAGTCTTCATGATCCCTGTGTTATGTATGTAGGTACAGCAGGTGTGTCTGAGCATGGATCTGATGGGGTTCGAACTGGAGAAGGGGGACAAGGAGAAGACAGGAGAGAGGGTCATAGCTGTGGGAGAAACGGCCCGTACTCCCTATGGCGGACAGAACCAGCTGGTCCTCACCACATACAGGTGAGGAGGGGGGTGGTGGGGGGAGCAGGGAGGGGTTTAAACCGTCTTTGGTTGACTTAGAAGATCCACAGGAAGGCATTCCTTTATCATGATAAAAAAACGTTTCCAAACTTTTGATGGGCCTTAGCAAGTCACCATTAATTCACTCCTGCAACGTCTCTCTCTCTCTCCCTGTCCAGGTTTCTGGCGGTGACAAACTTCAGGACCCATGTCCTGGCGGACCTGAGACGGAACCTGAGGATAGAAAAGTCGGACCTTCCGCTGGGGATCCTCCCCGGCTCCAAGATGCCCGGGATAACCATCGTCTACGACAGCAGAGAGGAGCCACGCGAGGAGAAGACTGTCACTGGTAGGTCTGTATGTATATATACCTGCATTCGATGAGTAAAACTGTTCGCAATTGTTATCCAATCCGGCTCAACTCTCCTTTTTTTATTTAACCCCTTCACTCCAGAGAGGGTAACGGCACGACTGATCCGCAACAAGCACCACAGCCTGGCAAATACGGACTCGTACGCCGGGTTTGAAGATGTGGTGGACAGAGACCACTGGTACCCCATGCTGCTGGAGGTTCAGCGAGGTTGGAGGGTGGCGCAGGCAAGGAAAGACCCTGGGGTAATGGAGACCGCCATGTGCCACGTCGTTCTGCTGGACGCCATCGTCGGCAGTGGGCTGCTGGACAGATTGAATCACACGCAGAGAGGGAAATGCATGATGGTGAGTGGGGGAGAGGAGGAGAGGAGGGGAAGAAGGAGGGGGAGGGAAAATTGTTGTACGTGTTAACAGAGAGGGAAATGCAGAGTGGATGGTGGTGGTCTTTCTTTTTTTTCTCCTCCTCTCCAGAAACTGATGACTCTACAGACGAAGGACGTGTCAGAGGTCACGCAGTTCACGGTGGAAGCCCTCCAGTACCGCATCAACCCCTGTCTCCACGAGACGCAGCGCCAGACGGTGGAATCCCTCCTCTACATCCCGCCCCTCGACCCCCTGGAGGCGGGGCTTGGGAAACTGTGGCTGGGGCTCGGCAACGGGTGTCTTAAGGTGTACGACATGGACGAGAAGTGCTTCGAGTCTAACATCAAGATCTCCGATGCAAAGGGGAAGAGTCTCAGATTGGTGAGTCCCCCATCTTGTGTTTGTTTTCGTGGTATTTGGAAGAAGACAATGAGCAACGTTGCCTGCCTGAAATGTGAGGTACATACTGTAGTTTTCTTGAGCTCGTTTGTACACCTGAAGACGTCCTAAACATTGTGGTTTTCTTATTGACATCCAGTCTGAGGAAAGAAGGCATTGACTTTGTTAATAATCTTACTATTACTACGGAGTCACTCGTCTCGCTCATCGCTCCCTTCAAACCTTTAAAAAAAGTCACTCACTGACACAGTTTGTCCACACTATGCCTGAATTGAGCTATTCGTGTGCGTGAATTCCAATCTGTCATTCCCTCTCTCTCTCTCTCCGCCCCTCCTCCCTCACTCAGTCGTGTCTGCTGCTGGTAAACCACACGGTGTGGGTTGCCTCATTCTTCAGTAAGAACATCCACATACTGGATGCCGAGACTGTCTGCCGTGAGTCTCTTTCTCTCTCTACACTCTACGAACTTCATTAAATAGCCTCCTAACCTATAAACACACTGCATAATGGGGCAAATTTTGGTACATTTTTCACATGGAATGTTGCAAGTTGTAAAAAGCATGTGGACTAAAGTATGTAAGTTGGACATGGAGTCAGTCAAATCTGCGCATGCCCAAGGGCCCTTGCGTTGTGGCGTTCTGAGATGCCTAACTTATTGGCCAGCGAAGCGAGTCTACCTAGTCATCTCAATGCTGGATTTTTCTTTTGTTGTGACCCGCACTGCATGGCTTACCATAATCTTATATGTGGTTCTAATTACGCGCGAAAACAAGCACACAAAAAACTCAAACTGGTCGCTTCGCCCGCCCAAAATGTGGCATTCCTCTAGTTTACAGTCCCACACACACATGATAATGGCTTGAAACGACAAGGAGACTGTGTTGTCTGCAGATGTGTCTCAGGTGTCCTACCTGGAGGAGGCCCCGAGGGACCTCTGTCTGTCAGACCAGATCTGCCACTGCAGCACAGCTGGACCCCAAGTCTGGTGTCTCCTGGTCAACGGGACCCTCCTCGCCTTTGACCCCGACACACGCACCAGGACCTGCAAGGTGAGGGAGGGAGAGGGAATTGATTATTGGTCGATAAAGCTCTATATACCACCTTCCTAATCAACGACTAAAACTTGACTGCAAGCCTTCCTGTTACATTTCAAGTAGGAACGACCCCTCGTGCATCTTTCCTCAGCTGTTAACTTATCCTTCGCGCTAACCCGAGATGTTGCGACGTTTCTGATTACTTGTCCAATTTGTCAAATGGTCAAATTCTCGAAAAAGTATCGTATTATCAGTTTTCACAAACGTTTACTCCTTTAATATTTTCCCGCCATACAGTGTATTTCAAAATTACTCAACTTATCATGTGACAATCATGTGACCCACTAGATGCAGGTCCCGATATCGGACGACAGCGCCTTCTTCACCGTGACATGTTTCACGATATGGAGGAGCACTCTGTGGGTGGGCACTAATAGGGGTACCATCGCTGTAATCGACGCCAACGACGGGAGGTGTGTGCACGAGATATTCTTCCCCGGAGGACGGCGGAAACAAGTGGAGATAAAGCATTTGGCTCTCTCCAGCGAGAATGAGGTGTCAGATGTAGTCGCCCTTTTGCTGGTGGAAACATAATAATATGGTCATTCTGGTAGTGAATTACGTACCGTTGCATAACATGTACATTCCCATAGTGCGACGGCTTAGTTTTGTGGCATTGGTAGAATTGCGCATTATTTGTGTGCATGAAATGTATATTTATAGATTTATAGCATACTAGCCACAGAGAATAGAAAACCAGAAGTCACCCTCCACCCCCATGTACTGTTCTTGCTGTACTCTTTACTGACCTTCACTCGCCAATAGATGCATGTATCATAACCAGGGAGACTGGGATTTTCTTTTGTCTGAACCACACCCCCCGCCTGTGTCTGTCACTCTTCTCTCCATCCCGTCCAGATCTGGTGCAGTGTCAACTCGACTCCTCGCAGCAAAGACTCGACGTTCCTGACTGTCTTTGACGCGGCCACTCACGAGAAGAAGCTGCACTACACTGACCTGGAGTCCAGAGTGGCCGTCATTCTACCTGTCCACACCTCCGTGAGAGGGGGACCATGTAGTGGGTTGGGGGTAGCGTGAGACAGATAGGGGGAGAAGGTGCACTACACTGACCTGGAGTCCAGAGTGGCCGTCATTCTACCTGTCCACACCTCCGTGAGAGGGGGACCATGTAGTGGGTGGGGGGTAGCGTGAGACAGATAGGGGGAGAAGGTGACAGTGGGTGTTCTCTGTTAAGTCCCACTTACCATAATGGTAATGAAGGTATCCCACTCTACATTGCATTCGTATGGGGAACGTGTCATACATGATCTATAAATGTTGAAACTAAACAGAGCCTAGTGCAAGAATTTTCTTTCTTCTATATATAATTTTATATTAAGTTTAACCCTTATATACTGCCACATCCCTAATGCCTAGTAGTTTATAGGCATAAGCCCTAATTTCTCACTGGGTTCATGTAGATTTAAGTGTTCATATTTCTCACTGGGTTCGTGTAAATTTTTTGAGCCCTCGGCCTTGTGTATATCTTATCGTACATATGTGTATTAGATGTGGTGTGGAACTAAGGGCGGAAAGATTCTCATATTCAACTCTAAGAACTACTCGACTGGAGAAACAGTATGTTGTCATTATGACGTCATTGTTTCTAAAATTAGTAACGCTGTTCCCCAGTCACAGCTGTCAGCTCATGAGGACATTATTCGGACAATGACAGTGGCTGATAGGTACGTAGTCAGTGGGAGTGGCTCTAATGATGGATACGCAGCTGTCTGGCGAGCCGTGTCCTCATAGACCACACCCACCTTTTTTATTAGTTTTTGATACTCTATATATCATCAAATGTATCTGTTTGTTTCGGTAAAACAATGTATGAGGAATTTTAAAGACTTAGAATTTAGCGGCTGCACAGCTCGAATAAGGAATTTGTATATACACTAGAAAGTAGAAGTTCTCTAACACACTATAATGACCAGTGCAGTATTACAATGTATGACTAGCTGCAGAAGATCTTCTAGCGACTGCACACAGCACAAGTGAGAGCATTGCCAGTTGAGCTGTAGGGAGGACAGGTGAGCTCAGCACCATTACAGCCAACATTCAGTGGATAAAACTGATAGGCAGCAGTCCCACTGAGCGACTCTGGGCTCTGGTCCACACACTCGTGTCTGCTGCGACGACCGCTGCTAGTCATGAGGTATCCGGTGTACTCGCTGGTCCAGTGAGGTGGACAGGTCAGCTTGGCAGGAATCATCACGACGGTGGGTCTGAGAGAGGAGTAGCATACGGTGCAGGGAATGCTCTGACCACTGACTCCAGCTGGACTGCTCTGATAGCCCACTCCGTAGACTGTGAACGCTCTGAGAGTATCACTGCTGGTGGAGTATTCGGGGTCGTTTGGAAGACAGGTAAAATCAGAACCAGTGCTGCTGCCCCCAGCTCTTCCAGAGTAGACTAGTTCAGTTCCAGTGGCATTAGGACATGAGGTCCTGCCCCAGCGAACGTACACACCTCCATAACTTCCAGCACCCTGGCCACCACGCTCCCCTCTCCCTCCTTTGTCCCCCTTCTCTCCCACATCACCTTTTTGTCCTCGTAGACCAGTGGGACCTTCACTACCACGATTTCCTGTTCCCCCTGCCTCTCCCTTTGACCCCTTCATTCCTGGAGGACCATTCGGACCAAGTGCTCCTTTGTCTCCCATTTGTCCCTTTTCACCTTTTTCACCTCCCCCCACCTCTCCCTTCTCCCCAGCGGTGCCGACGCTTCCCCTCTCTCCCTTCTCTCCCCGGACTCCGTCTCTGCCATCTCTGCCGTCTCTTCCTCGAAGACACTCCAGCTGACACGAGCCTGTGCTACTCGTTGTGTCTCCTCCATCTTCCTCCACCACCACCACCACTTCCTCCTCTCCCCGTCTGCTGGAGGAGTTTTCTATACGAATAAGAGAGGAAAGAAAGTAGGAAGTTTCAGTTTCGTCCCATAGTCTGCAATAGGTTGATCCATATAATGATATTCATCAACCCTCCAATAACTCACCACCAAAACAAATGGAGAAGTAGACACTCAGTAACAGGACTATAGAGAGACTGACACCAGATCTGAGGAGAGACATGGCCAATAGCTCTGCAGACGTATATACCTACCACAATCGATTTGCTGAACTTTTTATATATACCTCAGCTTCCTCCAGTGACCTCTGCCTGCACTCTCTGAGGTAACCTCAGAGAGTGATGTGCCATCCGTTCCAATTCCCTCCTATTCAGTCGTCCCACACTCTCAAGAGAATGATATAAACCGTCTCCCACATAGGAAACCTTATAGAATGATGTAATAGTAGTGACCTCTAACCTCTTCCAATACAGTCGTCCCACACTGAAGCCTTAGTTAATGATGTAATGGTAATTAACCCTTTCAAGGGTGACCACTCTCGCATTATGAACACCAACTAGCTCAACAGCTAGAACTGCAGGTATAAATATAGAGGTAACTAACAAAGGTAGTGGTATAATATAATTATAATTATACTAGAACGAATGCAGCACATTTTTAGCCAGCGAAGCGAGTTCATGATTCACACGTATCAGAACCACAGAGAACACTACAGCATATTGTGCAGCAGCAGAGCAGTGCGGGTCACAACATAAAAATCCTGCATTCATTGTGCTCTTTAACAAAATAGCACATGTGAACACATCAAGTAAAAATAGGGTGTACGCCACATTGTAATCTTTCCCGAGCATAGCATGCACGAGCCATACACGGGCGGAGGGGAAATCCCATACGCAGAGCACAATGCGCGTTGCGCGTAATACTCTCGCGCGGTTTTCTGGTGTGGCTAATCGTCACCATATCGCGCATGCAAATCATACTACATAATTCATTCACAAACTCAAACTTGTCCCTGTGTGTCATAGCCCCTATTTTTACTTGATGCGCTCACACATAATTGTCATGTATACAATAATTATACATTGCAAAATTCAGTGTTAGTAGGTTTTACAATACAGTGGAAAGGTTCATATAGAGTTTCAGGCAAAAGAGTCCTTAGCAGCCACTACAGCCCCAGGTGTGTTCACTAGTCCAGTTCACACAGGGTGGTACTGCCTTACGCTGCATGACATACAGAAGGAGAGAGGGAGGAAGGGGGAGAGGGAGGAAGGAGAGAGGGAGGAAGGAGAGAGGGAGGAAGGAGAGAGGGAGGAAGGGGAGAGGGAGGAAGGAGAGAGGGAGGAAGGAGAGAGGGAGGAAGGAGAGAGGGAGGAAGGGGAGAGGGAGGAAGGAGAGAGGGAGGAAGGGGGAGAGAGAATAATACCTACCATGGAACCTCAAAAACTGAAGGAAAAAACTAAAATGGCATCAGCAAAGAAACACAAGCGAGCAATTTCATTGCCCACACGCTTACAATATTGGTATTTGCATTGCATTCACGCCAATATTATAGAAAAAACTGCATACAGACACCTCTGAATAAAGGACACACTGATACTCTACTAGGTATCCGGGATTAGAGGTAGTAAAGATTCAGTCCAGTAGGTAAAACTAGGTCACCTGCTCTGCATGAGTGTCTGGGCCAGCTGTATGTTGCTAGGGGAACCGGTGATGTTGATGATTCTCTCCATGGAGCCTGGCTTCGGGTCAGTGATGACTACGTCACATGACGACTGGTTCCTGGAGTGTGACCACAGGACAGTTACACATTATGACGTAACACTCAATACAAATCACATGCAGCGACCTTTGGACAAAGAATACGCTTAAAAGAAAACGTGGAAGTATAATATACAAAAGGGCTAAATGTAAACATTGCAAGAATGAGTCCTATTTTTGTTGTTGTAAAATTCAGCCTATAAAATCAAGCTTGTGGTGGAAATTAAAGAAACTGTATAATGAAATGATATAGCTCAAAATTACTTAAAATTGTACTGACTTGATATGTTCCAAGTTGGCTCCATTCACTCCCAGTATAGACATGGCATACTGCACAGGAGGGCAGGATAAGAGAGGCGTCCTACAGGACAAGGTTGACTGACCTCGTTAGGAATGGTGACCTGCTGTGTATGCTGACTGGGAGGAGGGGGGTGCATCATTTGGGACGGGGGAGGAGGGAGAGAGGAGGATGGAGGCATGTACATCTGGGGAACTGCTCCAGTGAGGAGTGAGAGAGGAAGAACGAGGTTAGAGATTTGTGAGAAAGAGAGCTAATGTAGATCCAGAGGAGAGAAAATTATATCACAATTGGTCACATGGCAAAAATTAGAAATGAACTACAACCAGTAGATAGGAGGACAATTTTTCTACTTGTATATAAAAAAACGGCCCAATCACAAGCAGGTTTTCCACTACTAAAAATTGAGAAACGATATATCAAGAAAAGTGAAGTCACTAGTTTACAATAATTTTGCGACACCACAGACGTACCGGAGGAGGGTGGAGGCATGGCGGAGGGAGGCGGGGCCTGTGGCATTGTGGAGTAGCCGACACTGGCCTGAGCCCCTGACCCTCCGTACGAAGTGGCTCCACTAGAGATGTGGGGAGGTGCACCGTAACCTCCCCCTCCCCCCATCGGTGGCTACATACAACAGAGATATATAGGTGAAAAGAGAGAGGTATATAGGAGACGGAGTGGTTTACTTACAGCCGGATTTGGAGGAGGTTGGTAGGGGGGCTGATGAGAATTTCCCCCTGGCCCCCCGTTATTACGACCCCTCCACGATCCCTGGAACCCTCGACTGAAAGAAAACGACACATCTCTCTCTCTGCATGTTCCATGGTATATCAGAGGTCTGAAACTCACCCTCTTCCTCCTCTATCTCCTCCTCCTCTCCCTCCCCTCCATCCTCCACTTCCTCTGCCTCCCTGCAGGGAGACATCTCCAATTAATGCACACCATTACCAGTATACTACAACGGCCAGCAGTTGGATGTTTGGCACATTTTTTTGGCAGAATTTGCGACAAAACACTTTGTGCAATTGCTCAATTACAACTTACCCTTCCTCCATCCATGCCTCCCCGGAAATTGTGCCCCCCGCGCCGAGGGGGCGGGAAATCATCTGGCTGGGGGCCAGAAGAAAACTCGGCAGTCGGTTCGTAGAGATAAATTGGCTCCCGAGGCTCCTTCTGCTTAGAGAGATAAGATTATTATATGGCATCTATTTCACTCGCAGTGTCCTATAGGACACCTTATAAGTATGTCCTATAGGACACCATATAAGTGTGTCCTAATAGAGGGGTGCACATAGAGATGTGTCCTATAGGACATACAGTGGAACGTCCATGTGTATTTCTGGACCAGGCATTTTGTCCCTATGTGGAGATCTTTTGTGGAGTTCACATAGTATTCTGTTTTAGACACCCATATTGGTGTGCTAATGTGTCCTATAGGACGCCTCATTAGTCAGACCAGCGATGTGTCCTACAGGACAGACCTTGCCGATTTCGTCGAGGAAGTAGAACAGGCACTCAGAGACCTGCTGTTCTGTTCCAATGAGCTGGACACTCTTTCGTTGGAGTTTGGCATCGGGTCGCTGAATATCTTGATACTCGTCTTGGTTTTCTGGACACACGGGGGAAGACAGAGAGAGACAAGTAACATTGCTGCCGACACCGTAGAGATTAGGCTTACATCACACATGGGCTAAATTTAGAAGATGTTACTAAACATAGAGCTAAAATAGGGAAGAAGAGTGCAGACCTCCACGCAGTGACTCACAGATCTAAGCTCCTTGATCTTGCTGCCTGCGGTGCCAATGATGGTCCCCATAAACGGCTGGGGGATGAGCACCTGAGTCTCGAAGGCCAGCTGGTTGGGGTCTCCGTGTTGCTGCACAGGCTTGTAATGGACACACACATACGTAGAGGTTGGGTGGAGCAGAGAGAGATGGGGGATAGTTGGAAATAGGAAGAGAGGAAAGAGGGAGAGGGTGAGGAGGAGAGAGGGGAAAGGAGAGGGAGAGGGGGTGAGGAGGAGAGAGGGGAAAGGAGAGAGAGAGGGGAAAGACAGTGAGAGAGAGTTAAAGATGGAGAGAGGAAAAGGAGCAAAGGTAGAGAGAGAAATGAGATAGTTGGAAATAGGAAGAGAGAGGGGGCGAGGAGATGAGAGACGGCAAAGGAGAGAGACGGCAAAGGAGGGAGAGGGGAAGACAGTAAGAGAGAGTTAAAGATGGAAAAGAGGGAGAGAGGAAAAGGAACAAAGGAAGAGAGGGAGAGAGAGAAATGAGATATGAAAGGAAGAGAGAGAGAGAGAGAGAGAGAAGAGAAATGGTGTAAGAGTCCCTCACCCCATCCCCCAGTTTGGGAAGACAGTCTCTCAGAACTCCAATACATCCCTCGATACGACCCATTACAGTCATCACCCTGGAAACAGGGGTCAAAGGGTCAGTGAAAAAGTTGTGTGTACAGAGGTTTAGTTGTACACGTGGAAGTGACAAATTTCGGCCTAATGCTCGTGCCGTGATGTATTATGATCAATTATGATGTCATGCAGCACATGCATGATCAATCAAAATGGTGATGTAATGGTGGGCATTCAATAGAAGGCTGTGTCGTCAGGACAACCAAACATACCGCTCCGGAGCCCCGGGAGAATCAGGAAGGACCACCTGGCAATCATGCTGGAGGGGAGAGGGACAAGGGACACGGGGGGCCGAGTGGGCCGCCAATGGAGTGGGCATTAATTGGAAGGGTCCAGGTGGGCATTATTTGGAATGGGTGTTGATCGTATCCACACGGTGTGCATTAATTGGGAGTTGGGACGGGGTAATGGGAGAGTTCATTGGAGAAGGTTGGGCGAAGGAGATGGGGACATGGAGGGGAAGGGAGGGAAAAGGGAGGGAGGAGAGGGAGAGGGACATTTTGACAGAGTGGCACAACTAGAGAGAAAACGACACACAGAACAAACAAGAAAACCGGGTTAAACCCAAAACAGGACCGGAGAAGGACTGTAGTGGGAGAGAGAAGCTACAAGGACAGCAAGGGTTAAGCCAAAAACAAATACAACATGAAATTGAAAATGCTCAGCCATGCTTACAACCAATAGTAACAGGAAACTACTCTACAAGCATTCCACAACTGCCAGTACATGCCACTAACAATACCACCCCTTTGTTACCAGAGCTACTAAACAATTTAGGGTGGTGTACGCATGCTTTCCCACAAACACCACTTTTTCTTCTCCTTACCACTTTCCTGAGTCTCTTTATATTCTCTCCTCCCTGCATTCAGAGATAGACACATTCACCACACTCTATAACTCCTTCTCTCCATGCCCAAACCCTCCACACTTCATTATAGACATTTCCCTGAGAGCTACAACTCTGTGCGGAGGTCTAAAACTATTGGTAAACTGCCTTGACTCTCTACAGACCTTGCCAATGATGCCACCGGCGTCGATCTGGCGGACCAGAATCCGGAGGGTGGCCGGAGGAACGTCCAAACGGTCCAGCTCGCTCTCCACCTGGGGACTGTCGAAACGACTCCTCTTCTGAAAATCAGGGCCCAGATCTCCGTCAATCTCCCCGCCCATATCGCCGCCGAACTGCTGATCCATCGGTCTTTTCCGTCCTGGAGTTAGAAAGACGGGGTAGCGAGGTTGAGTGACCGAGATAAAATGGCCGCCGGCTGCTAGAACACGCGGTCGGCCAGGGCCAGCATGTCGTGCTTGATCGCGTTCGTTCGACAGTTTTCTAGCGAGAAGTGCGGAATTTGCTTACCAACAGGCGGTGGTCCGTACTTGTCAGCAAACGGGGAATCATCAGAGAACTGATTTCCACTCGCCATTTTGTTTTCTCTTTTCACACGTGCACACAAGTGCGATTTCCCCGCACCTTGCGCATGCGCATAAATAATCGACTTTCTCGTCGACCGTCCGCGCCCAGATGCTGGGTTGGTGGTCCAAGCAGACTCGGCTGGGGCTGCTGCTGGTTCTCCTCCCTGTCCTCTATGAGTGGCACCAGACGAAGGAGACGCGGGAGGTTCTGCTGGGCCGCCTGGCGACCAGCTGGAGCTCCGTCAGACCTCCACAGAAAGTCGTCCGCAGAGTGGCCGTAGGGTGAGCAGGAAGTTTTGTGAGGGAGTGTGCCAATATACGTAGGCCGTACAAAGGTGGTTGTAGAACTTTATAATCCTTGATATACGCAGTAGAAGTAATATACAGAGAACTATAGAGAGAGTATTGCTTCTTCTATCTGATCATAGGTTTATAAAGCTATGCTCTGATTACAGGGTGAACGCGAATTTAGACCTCATTGTGTCAGCAACCCAGCTGTTAGAAACACTGGGCCTGTCTCCGGGGCAACCAGTAGACCACACCCACCTGGGGACGGCAGAGGAGTTGCAGGAGCAGGTGGCGTACTCCATGCAGCACTGTGCCGGGACCGAAAGAGTGTTTTCTACCAGCTCAGAGTTTCAGAGAATTGTGAATGCCGCCTATCAGCTGCCTCACACAGTGAGCAAGGGAAAAGATGGGAGAGAGGAACATGGATAAACAGACGTGTTTCATATTTTGCAGCATTTTATTGGAGGTAATGCAGCTCTGATGGCGGCCAAGATTCAGCAAACTCAGCCAAACACAGAGGTATTCTATTACGATGTCTGTACGAGTGAGTGTGGTCATAGTTTGTATAGTGAGACACAGAACCTTTGGGTAATAGAGCCATCATTACGGGAACCCCTGATAACTTATGATATACTCTTTCTTCTTGAATTGTGCCAACTATAATTAGTTATTTCACACTGTGCCAGGTGATGTTGGCTGGGCCAATTGGAGCAACTCTGAGGAGCCTACTCCAACCCCACATTCACACCCCGACGTTTACCCCGGAGAGCCGGGATGAGGTACACCTGATCATGGAGTACCCCAAAGGCGAGCGCTGGGGTGGCATCACCTCCACATGCGCCAACAGAGTCATCATCTCTCACGACGTCTCAAACGCCAAGATGGTGGCCCTGGAGGACTTCAGACAGACCCTGAGCTCCTTCAAACCTGACCTTGTGATTCTATCTGGAGCCCACCTCATGCAGGGGGAGACGTCCGATTTCAAGAGAAAGAGACTCGTCGATGTTGCCCGTCTCCTTGACGACGTCCCGGCAACGACCCCTGTGCACTCTGAGCTGGCGACCATTGGGGACCTTGACTACCTCAGAGACCTAGCCGAGACGACCTTCCCGAGAATCGACTCATTAGGACTTAACGAACAGGAGCTTGTCTCACTAGCCAAATCGAGTGGAGCTGATTTCGACTTTGCACATATGCCAGCCAAGCCAAACATCTCTCTGGTATCAGATCTCCTTCACTGGCTGATTCAGACACACTCATCTCTGGGGAGGGAGAAATCTCGATTGACGCGAGTTCATTTCCACACCCTATCCTTCCACGTGATTGCCACTGTAATGCGACCGCCTCACTGGGCCAACTCCAAATCAGCAGTGCTGGCTGGAGCACGAATTGCCGGACTCCAGGCCTGCGACGTGGAGCATTTCGAGGCAGGAAAATTCGAACTTCAAGTTCCGCTGGATTTTACTCTCTCCGTGACAGACGGAGTAATGTCGCAGCATTTTGTTAGTCTTACTCCGGAGTCTGGGGTAGTGTCATGGGAGAGGGGCGGAGTGGCGTATGTCTTTACTCCGGTGCTGGTCTGCAGAGCTCCATCAAAGACAGTGGGACTGGGCGATGCGATATCGTCCATGGGACTTCTCTATTCTCAGTTTAGCCGGCAATGAAAATGTCTTTATACGCACATGATTATTTTGTCACTGCAATATTACATGACAAACACTGGAGGAAGAAGTTGAGAGTTGAGAATTGATAGCTGTTATTTTGGAAGGAAAGACGCGACCATCATTCCATAGTAGCTGGGGTGGTAGTTGGCATATAGTCTGGGCACCCAGGAACTTAGACCTCTGCAAGTCAATCGGAAAAACTTGATTCCACGATGTAAAAGTTGGAAACTGGCTAACAGGAAAGTGTGTGTTACTGTACAGGTCTCTATTTCATACTCCCTCTAGTAAAAGTACATGTAATGGTGAAGTATAATGATGTCTGGCCAAAGGTTTGACTCACACAGCCTGTAGGACACCATGGAGCATGACAAGTCCGGTGTAGCCACAGGAGAGAGCTCTGTCCACCAGAACAGCCGCTGTCTCCAGTAGAGCTGTCCCGTTAACTCCCTTTACCCACTCCCCTACTGCCTGCAGTCAATTCAGTACATGTAGTAGCTCTATGCACAGTGGGAACTTTTGAGAGGGAGGAAAACAGAGTGTGAGTTTTACTGAGATTTTCATTGCGTAATGCAATACAGTAAGCCAAGAATGGTAACACTACCATTTCGTACCAGGTCAAAGGGTTCTGAGGCATTGGAGTAGCCGTAGGGTCCGGAGCTGAGGTGAGTGTGTGCTAGATCTGCACTGATCACCACCACCACTCTCTCTGTCGTCTCGCTCTTGATGTAACTCTGCAGATCATGACCTGCAACATTGTCAAAAGTGGACTTGAATTCAGAACTACTGTACATTCATCAAGCATACAATTTCTGACATACAGCCTATTTTTAAAACTTGTGTACAATTGGTGCTGTTTCAATAGCACTCAGCAATTTTCCAGAACAATTTGATGGCTTAGAGTCATATTGCTACTCAGTATTTAAACACTAACAGACTCAAATGGCAATACTGATCCCCATGAGTGATGTGTGATTGTTCCCTCACCTAGCTGAAGCAGCTCTGGAATCATGGCAACACTATCGTTGTACCTCCTACTTGGCTGAGAGAGAACCATCACCTGCACAGCAAGAGGGAGATCCGCCAACTCAACACCTCTGAGGAACCTATTACTTTATATACCAGTCTCAAAGTAGGAACCATGGGGACAAAAAAAAGAAAAATTTCCTTTATTAATAGGTGTCCCTTTTCAGAAGTAATAGTGTATTCACAAGGGGCAGAACCAAGTTTCCTTTATAGAGAGGAGTCCTTTATTCAAAGGGTCCTTTACTTATGTTTCACTGCACCACTGACTCTGGTGAGAGGAGAGTGTGGTAGAATGAAGTGGAGAGGGATGACCTCTCCCCATCGCAGAGGGAAAGGCTCAGCATCTTCCTGGGCTGGAGGACCATAGGCCGCCAAGCCAGATACATTAGCTCCAGGCCATTTCTGTCACAGGGAAAAAAGGGAGCAACAACAGAAAAGTGGAGGCAGAAAAGGTGAGTGAGATCCAGCATTGCTACTGGCTGATGCTATTGACTGAATGTAACCAGCTCATCATGTAGGTATTAGACCAAGAGAAAAATGATGCGGAGCTCTTGACGTAAGAGCAAATATATAAATAGACTCTCTTGCCTGTAGTAAAGACTCAATGATTCTGAGGGAGAGAGGTCCATCAATTTCCGCAGAGACGTTGTAGCAGCAAGGAGGGCAGTCACAGTTGTCTGTGTCTGCCCAGCCATATCCTCTGGGGTTCAGGTAGAACTGGAAGTTGCTCAGATCTGCAACGCCATGTGGAGTGCTGAGTAGAATCACAGAAGGTTCCAGCGCTGCTATCTCTCTGCCAACCTTGAGATGTGTAATAAAAAGAGCTGGACACAATCAGAGAGTTTTGCAGTTTTTAACCTGCTGACACGCCTCGTGCAAGGCCCAGGCCTCGGCTTTTGCTGTGGAATTAGTCGTGTTGAAGTACCTGGGGTCAAGAGCAATACCTCCTGCAACAGAGGAAATAGTAATACTCGGCGTGAGTCATGTTGTTACGTGGCCAACTTTTACCGTGTGGCATGACAAAGGCACCCAACAGCTCTCCAGCCGAGCATATCTCCAGGAAGAGGACCCAGAAAGCTAGTAATGCAGCTAGAATCCTCGATAGAAGCAGTCTGTTCGCCATATCAAAGCCACGAGCCACGCCCACCTAGTTTCACGCACGCGCGAGCTAGCAATGTCGCCGATCGTTGAAGGCGGCGACGTTGCCGCAGGGCCAGAGGAAGGGAACGAGTCCCTCATCTACTGGGTGTCATGGCTGGCCACCGTCTCCACACTGGGCCTCTTCTCCTCCGGCCTGTACGTATACCTTCACCGGTGACGTAATTCCCATTATCTCCATTGTTTCTGTGTGTGTGTAGTCTGACAATCAGGAAGATTCACAGCAGCAGGAGCGTGGGCTCAGTGTCTCACATCCCCTTCGTTGCCGCCTCTCTCAAGTCAGTCTCACCTGACGCCTTACCTACTACATCAACTACACACACTTGCAACACACACACTCTGTCTCAAGTCAGTCTCACACCTACTACCTTCACTGTTCCTTTGCTCTGCAACGAAATTGTCTCTTGTCATCGTTCACTGAATCTGCTAACTTGAAACACACACACACACACTTTGGTTGCCTCAGTTGTTCTCTATGGATGACGTATGGCGTGCTAAAGCCCGACAGCCCCATCACATTCATCAATATGGCCGGTCTGTTTCTTCAACTCTTTTACATCGCAGTCTACCACACTTACGTAGAGATGAAGGTACGTGAATAACAATGAGACACACGCAGTGCAGAATATGGCATAAAGACTCTATATACACTGTATAGTCCATATTGTGCATGCGAAGAGATTCACTTCCATTCCCTGTTGCAGTTCAAGATTCAAAGGGACTTTACCATTGTTCTAGTCACAGTTCTCAGCATCTCTACCTACTATACCTATCTTGTGTCGGACCACGAACGGGTCATGAATCAGATGGGTGTTGTCTGTAATATCTTCACCATCATCTTCTTTGCGTCTCCTCTCATCAACATGGTGAGATCCCTTTACTCTACACATGCACACACTGGCATAGAGAAGGTAAATAATAATGAACTTCTGTAAAAATTCTGGAAATTTATGAGGGGGGGGGGATTTTGTATGGAAAAGCTGGCAATCAAACTTTCTTCAATACAGTTTTTCTTCTTCTTAGGCTGAAGTGGTTCGCTCAAAGTCGACAGAAACGATGTCATTTCCTCTCACTGTGATGTCAGTTTCAACCACATTGTCTTGGGTGCTGTACGGGCTACTGGTAGCTGATGTCTACGTCATTGTGAGCCACCAATACACACGTTTTGGAAGTGCATAATTTTTGCTGGTCTTCTGTGCTTTTAAAACAACCAGTAAATAATGGTTTGCGTAAATTTTGCACCTTGAAAAATATTGTGCTCAACTTCACTCTACTTCAGAATGTCACTTTCCACAGTTCCCGAACACGGTGGGTGTGTTCCTGGCGTGCATCCAGCTGGCACTGTTTGTCATGTACCGTGACCATTCCAAGAAACTCGTTGCAAAAGTGGAAACTCCACTAGTCTAGCATCAGATATCATTACTGACCCTCTCCTATTGGCCATGACCTTTTTTTGAGAATTTATTGAAAATCAGCTTGATCTGTGATTGAAAATGACGCTAACAATGAAACGAGGAACTGCTGAGTTTGAGTTATAGCTGACGAATGTATGAAGTGATAAGTGATTTGTGTTGGCGTGGGGGCGGGGTGGTGGGCTCAATTTAGAATCTCCTGTAGTGAGTCAATGTGTCTTTGGACTCTCTGACTGGTGTGGGTGCAGTCTGAGATGAGACCTGAGGAATGGAGGGAAGGAAGGAAGGAGGGAGGGAGGGGGAACGAGGAAGTAAATGGAGGGTGTATATGACGGCTGGTGAATATTGAGAGTGAGCAGGGAAAAGGGCTCACGTTTTATCTTCTCCATTGCAAGTTCATCATTCAGAGAGAATCCAACCAATGCTATCACACCACAAGACAAGACGAACCGTGATTATAATAATTATACCCACAAACTACTACATACCTCTTTCAGGCTCTCTCTTTCCTTCCTCATCCTCATCCTCCCCGATGGCTTCCAGCCTCCCTAGCTCTCTTTCCAGCTCAGTCCTCTCTCCCTTCACCCCTTCCCTCTCCACCCTCTCCCCATCCAGCCAGTGAAGGTGGGGGAAGCTCTGACTCATGAAGACGCCGTAGCCGCCATGGTCCCTGTCCGAGCAGAGAGGGTTGCCGAGAGACGTTGCTCCGTGTATTTTGAGACACAGCGTTCTGAGGTGAGGCAGAGCACACAGAGGGAGGAGAGAGTCCAACCTAAAATTAAACAAGAGAGAGAGAGAGAGAGAAGGGGGGATGAAGTAAAAAGACTGGAAACAAGGACTCACTCAGCAAGGTTGTTTCCTGGCAAGTCTATTCTCTGAAGTTTCTCGAATTTGTCAAAATCCTCTGCAGAGATTTTAAAAAAACAACCACTTACCATCTCCACTCACATACCACACAAGACCACAATAAAAAGATTGTTCAGACTACGTACTGAGGCTGGAGATGAGGTTGGCAGAGAGATCCAGCTCCTCCAGACCAGTGAGACAAGTCAAAGATCTGACATCACACAGTCGGTTACACGACAGGTTCAACACCCGCAGAGAACAGCACCGAGGGACTGCCCCCAACTCATTCAGTCCTAAGTGACGTCATATGAATGATGTAATGTACACGTAATGGGTCTGAACCTTGGTCCGAGAGGTCTAGGAAGAAAATAGTTTCCAGGTCGAACTCGCCCGTTTTTCTCTTTAGGTCTGCCTTGTCTACTGCTTGTTGATATATGGTATAGGATTACAAGCATTTTTGAGGTATGGTTACCTGCAACTGAGCCGCTCGGTGTAGCCATTCTTGAACGCTAACTCGCAAATGTTTACGGTGCGCTCTTATTAGAGAGTGAGAGTACACGTGTGTTTTTATCAAGCGCATGCGCAGTTTGCAGGCCTTTTCTTCGGCTCCGTCACGTTGAAGTGTGGGCTATGAAGGTACGTTCAGAATCTCTTTCCATCTAATAGCTAGAGCCACCCGACGCCTCGTTTCTCTGTCAGTGGTCCCACCTTCTTCTGCTTGCTTCCCTCACAGCTCAACGTGGCTTACCCGGCGACCGGCTGCCAGAAACTGATCGAGATCGACGACGAGCACCGAGTGTGAGTGTGTGCGATGTCCAGCAGTTAGTATAGCCAGTATAACATGAACTGTATGGACGGTGTATTATCCTCTCTCCTTCTCGTAGGCGTCCGTTCTATGACAAGAGGATATCTGCAGAGGTGGCTGCGGACTTTCTGGGAGACGAGTGGAAGGTTAATACATAGACAGCTCGTTTTTATGTCGTGACGAATCTCTCTCTCTCTCACACACTCAGGGGTATGTGGTTAGGATATCAGGCGGCAATGATAAGCAGGGGTTCCCCATGAAACAAGGGGTCCTCACTGCGGGGAGAGTGAAGCTCCTCCTCTCGAAGGGCCACTCGTGTTTCCGGCCGCGACGCAAGGGACAGCGGAGACGCAAGTCTGTCCATGGCTGCATCGTAGACGGGAGTCTGAGTGTTCTCAATCTTGTCATCATCAAGAAAGGCGAACAGGTTTGTACTGGAAATTGGTTTAGTTGCTGCCGCACCGTTGCAACCTGCTTTGGATGCCATGGGTATCTTCTTAAATAAGCAGAAATTGATTATTAGTTGCTAGTATTATGACCCCCATATATGTTCTAATGGACTTATGGAGGCTCTGGAAGCATTTGTGTCCACCCGTGGCTGGTTAAGTGTTAGCTCTCTCTGTCTGTACTCAGGACATTCCAGGCCTCACTACTGACACAGTTCCACGCCGTCTGGGACCAAAGAGAGTCGGGAAGATCAGGAAACTCTACAACTTGAGCAAGGTTATGCTTCTACTTATCTTTTGTCTTATTCTTGGTATAATCCTTTCTTTTCCTTCTTTCACCATGCTAAATCAGACACTCTGCAACCTTAGCTTAGCAAGGTCTTGGAGATACCACCACCACCACATGTCATTACCTCTTTTTACTATGACTATCTTTACTATCTTTCATCCTTTCTCTCTTTCCCTGTTTGCGTGCTCTCTCTGTCTCTCCTCACTCGTACAGGAAGATGATGTCCGACAGTACGTCATTCGTAGGCCACTCCCCCTCAAGGAGGGGAAACCCCAGAGATACAAGGCCCCTAAAATTCAGCGACTGATCACTCCCGTTCGACTCCAGCGCAAGCGTCACTTGCTCGCCCTAAAGAGGAAGTGGGGGGAGAAGTCGCGAGCAGAGGCCGCGGAGTACGCCAGGTTGCTGGCGAGGAGGGCAAAGGAGGCACGCGACCAGCGAGTTGCCAAGAGAAGACTGTCCAGCAAAAAATCGTCCACCTCCAGCATGTGATGATTGGGAGGTGTGGCTTGTTGCTAGGGGGTGTGTCTGGACGCTGTATAGAGACATCTGTACATATTGGTTTATGGGATTAATTTTTGTGATGTCATCTCTTGCGCTTGCAAAAACGAACCTCCAAGCGAACAATCCATTCGAACATATCCAACACAAAGTGGTTAATAGTACTGATTGGTATTGTGACTGTTACAAGATACATGTAATATCAAAACCCGTGTCATGTGATAATAAAAGCAGGTCATGTGACCTGGAGAGAACCGAAGTCGGTCCGGCAGTGGCGGGCCCGGGGAGAGGGTGGAAGGTCATCAGAGGTCAGGAGAGCGGTAAGGGGGCGAGGGAGGCGCTGAACAGCTTGCCGGAACTCCTGGTCAAACTGATCTGTAAACACACATTTAGACCATGATGTCATCTAATAGAATGATGACAAACACAAAATCAGACCATGATATAATAATAATGTCATAATACTATGATGTAATATGACCTCACCGACATTGATGCTGCCCATAATGGCAGCCTTGAAGAAGAGAGTTTCTCGGTAGACGCTGCGATGTGGGCGTGGCTTAAGTTCGGCAGGGGGTGGGGTACCCTGTGAGTCGGAGGGCGGGGTACTCTGTCTGTCCTCTAGGAGACTGTGGAGTACTGAGGTCAGCTGACCCCATTGTGTCTTGGCCACCAGGCTCTGCAGCTGGCTGCATGCGAGAAGAGGGAAAATCACAATACTTTCTCGGACAAAAACCTTTCACAATTGCTTTGGATGCCATGGGTATCTGCTTAAATAAGCAGAAAATGATGTATAAAGTATTAGCGCCTAGTATTATACCCCCATATAAATTCTTATGGACTTATGGAGGCTCTGGGCACATTTATGTGTCCGTGGCTGGTTAAGTAGTTGACTTGTTTCCTTTGCCTTAGCCTCGCTCCCTCACTGCTTTTTGCATGATAGAAGTTTTGACAATGTTGTCACCTATATACAGCTAGTATGCTTAAATCCAGGCCTTTTCAGTCTAGGTCAGGAGACAGCTGTACAACTGTCTTCATTAGGCACGTGCACCAATTTGTATATCATGCCAGAATGAAATGAGTGCCTTACGTGGCTGAGTCACTCCGCGTTAGCCCGGGACTGGAAGGCAGCTGCATCACACGAGGCACTGAAAGAAGAAGAGAAGGAGGGAGAACTGAAGTCTCGGAAACTAATGGCGATAACATGGCCAACCTTTTCCGAGCCACATGAGGTAGAGAGGGTCAGGGGTGCCAGGGTATCTCTTATCCCACATCAGGTCTACCTTCATCTGCACTGATTGCTGCATTCAGGACACACACTATCAGGACACTCTTCCAGTACACACACTATCAGGACACTCTTCAGGACACACACTATCAGGACACTTTTCCAGGACACACACTATCAGGACACTCTTTCAGGTCCAGGCACATTATTAGGCAGGACCCACTCTATTAGGACAATAGGACACGCTATCAGGACACTTTCTATATACACTCAACAGCCTTTCAGGACACAATTTCAGGACAGACAGTCGTGTCACGGTGTCCTGATCCCTTCCACCCACCTTCCTGAGCTCCCTGTGTGTGCGAGTGAAGTTCCAGAGAGTGAGGAGAGGGAGGTAGGTGGGCAGCTGGAGACGGGAGAAGTACCACACCAGGTTCCAGTACACCGACGGACTGTGAGCGGAAGGGAGAGACAAAACATCGGCTTGGCTAGGAGAAAACACACTCCCTGATACGTTGATCCATGCAAAATGTCAGAACTTGGACGATCTTCTTATTTGCAAGAGTGAGCCAACGTCACATTCTTGTTGAAGTTGCATGCAACTCCTCTGCTAGCTTACCTTAAATGCACTACATGTCACAAAAAGTTGCACCAGCTAAGCTACACAGAATTAAAATGTCTTGCACTTGTGCACGTCACTTGCGTTTGACTCTCGCGCGTTAGATTTCACTTACAAACATTTGAATGCAATTCGATTACAAAAATTTGGGAAATTTGCCCAAGCTAGCCACGCATAATTGAAATATCGCCTTGTGTGCGTCACTTGCATGTGACTCTCGCATTTGCAGTGTTGCATTCATTCTAGAACTGTTAGGAGCTAGGAGCTAGAACTAGCATCGTCCATTGATCAGCTCTAATTACGGAGACAGTAGCAGTCGGTACAGCCTCACCTGCTGGTGGCCAGTTCCTCTCTGGAGAGGATGTCCCCGCCATCTTGAGAGATGATTGTCTCCAGTTCCTTTCGGAGGACCACGGGACTCAGATACGGCACTACCACCTCCGGCTCCTCCCTCTCCCTCACCCTCTGAGGCAAACGTGGAGAAATATATCGTTCAACTTTTTCGTACTGCAGCACACATGATTCAATCTCCATAATCACTCATATACAAATGGGTAACAATCTTAAAAAGTAACATTTGCAACCCTTAGAAGCATCAATACGTTTTGAATATTTTTGCTATTCCGAAGCTCGACAATATAAAAAAACAACTTGATTTGAGGGCGATTGTAGAAAAAAAACGCTACAAAGTGTCATGCAACTGTCATCTTCTTATGCACAAATAGACTCACGGGTTTCATAATTACAACACATACAGTGTATGTATGTACCTCGACGTGAGTTGTTCTATTGTCCTCGGTGGCTTCTCTGACTTCAATGTGGGGTGCGAGGGGAAGGTCTGAAGAGGAAGGGGGAGGGGGAGCAGGGGGCTGGTACGGTATAGGGGCACTGGACGCTCTCTTGTGCCCCCGGGCCTTCATCTGGGCCACGTATCTCCTGGTGGTGTCCTCGCTTAGCTGGTGGCTCCTCCCTCCCTCCCTCACTTCCTCCCTCCCCGCTTCTTCCTTCAAGAGCACAGTCTCCACACTCTTTGTTTGTTGGCACTCCTTTTGTTGTTGTTGTTGTTGTTGTTGTTTATCATGGTCTCTTCTGCTCTCCCTCACCCCTGGAGGTAGAGGAGGCTTCCTGCTGCTGATCACACCCCTTTCCTCTCTCCCTCCTCCCTCTCTCCCTGCCGCCACCAAGCCACGACTGTGACTGCTCTCTGACGAGGACAAAGGTCGATCTGTCTCCTCCCTCCCCTCGTTCCTGGCCCCGCCCCTCATTCTACGTGGTGTGGGGTCGGTACTGGGGACGTGGTCACTCCCAAACTGTGTCTCCTCTCTCCATTCTCGGCCAGAGAATCGTTGACTTCGACTCTCTTTTTTTGAGGAGAAAGAGGGTTTCGTCTGTCCAGTGACATGGTCCAGACACCTGGTTCTTTGAACTTGTCTCTTTTCCCCGACACTCCGTCTTCTTGTCCACCATCGGCGGTGTCCTCTTCTTCTCTTCCTCCCTCTCCCTCTTCTTCTTCTTCAGCGATGGAACTGTGGGGCTTCTTCTTGCTTTTACCACCTTCTTCTTCCGAATAAGGCAACCGCTAAAAGGGAGGAGAGAGAGAGGGGGAGGGGGGGCAGCGAAATTTCGGTACGTAAGTGTTCCGTAAGCAATGGTAGTGCATTGGCACTAAACAGGTGAAATATACTTAGTGAAAACATTAATAGCTAACTAAAATTATTTGTGTGCAAAAATCACAAGAGACATAAGCAGATCATGTGAAGTATACATTCACTCTCTTGTTGTAATAAGCTTGGGATGGCCAATCCGCAGATTGGATGGGCAGTGTTCTGACCTGTTTCTTGATGATGGTGAGTGAGGCTACGAGGTAGGATCCGCAGTAGGGACACCTGGTCTTGTAGTCGGCTTCACTCTCGCTCCAGTTCGCCATTATCACCTGCACACACCACGACACACCAGTTGCTAGAGCATTAGGTCTGTTTGTAGCTTTGGGTACAAACTTCTACATACATTTTATGTATGTTCCCATGATATGTACGTTTCGACGATTACATCAACTTTCAGACTTCATTTTGCCGTATTTTGCCGCCCCTACCTTATCTCGGTTCTGATATGCTGCCCTAACCTTTACCGTGCACCCCAGCCCCCCTGAACTCTGACCTCGTCATAAAGGAGACGATGACAGTGCGGACATTGGGTGCAGGAGGTGAGCTCTAAATGGAGTCCCGGGGGAAGGGAGGGGGTGTGGTCACTGGAGAGACTCATTCTCCTAACAGAGGTCGATGACCCCTGATACACTGCGGAGAAAGAGAGCGGAACTAGAAATCCAGATAGCGTCCGGAATGGCCCATACCACACCTGGTTTGTTGGTGTAGGTGGAGGAGGAGGAGGAGGGGAGGAGGCCGTTGGTGAGGGTGTGAGGGGAGGGAGATTGGTGATCTTGCTCCGAGGACCATCTCGGGCTCTTGTCCAACATGTAGGAAGAGTCTCCCCTCACCAGATAGTCTCCACTGCCTGCCAGAGAGAACAGGGGAGCTAATACATACGCACTTTATGTGATGAAAATTTACAATTTAAGCTACCAATGTGTATGAGAAAAACTTTTAACTTTTTTCATAAGGGAGAGAGAGGAGAGAGATAGAGAGAGAGAGAGAGAGAGAGAGGGAGAAGAGAACATGCCCACTCACCCTGAGCCATGCCGGTGGAGAGTTTGTAGACATGTCCCGACTGAAGCTGCTGCGGGCCTCGCGCCTTCTTCCTGGACTGGAACGAGGACAGGGGCTCCTCCCCCGAGTCGTCTTCCTCCCCCAGTCCCACGTCCAGAGCACTCAGAGACTTGCGGCTGGAGACGGAACCGGTCCGGGACAGGATGCGGAAGTCAGCACGCCCGAGATGACCTCCCCACTCGTCCTCCTCGCTGTCGGCAGGGTGACGGAACCTCAGGAGGTAGAAACACGTAGTCACGACGATGCGCAGGACCTTCCATCGTCTCTGCCTACTGGGCCACGATCCCTCCATCACTACCTGATGGGGAGTGTGGACAAATGGAGTATCTTGAAATTGAAGGGAATGTGTCAGTACAAAGGGCTAAATTTAGAAATGTTACTAAAGATAGAACAAAACAATAGGGGCACAGTGAAAGAATGCAATTGAGTTCTGTTTTTAGAAACATTTCTAAATTTAGCCCTTATATACTGACACATTCGATATACAACATGGGTACAGCACACCTAGCTAGCTAAATAACAATTTGAACATCAAAATGTTTTTTTTCAACCACCAAAATCACATAATTATAGTTACAATTAGCTATAAACCAATTATTCAAGAACAGGATTTTCAGTCCAGCAATGCATTATATAATCAAGAAAACAATTTACACTAAAATGGTGTGAGTTCAACAAGGTACACTGCACACCAAAAACACTGTTCATTATCCAAATAGGTTCCAGTCAAAGACTTTTGCCAGAACCAGACCTACGGGACCAAGAGCCACTGTAGCCAAGACAGCTGTGGCAGTTCTACCTGGGTCACCGACCACCTCTCTGCCCACCTCTCTGACAGCACCACCGAGTACAGTTAAAGCATCGTGTGGGGTGGGCTTTGGGAAGGGGTCCACCGGAACGGGAATTAGAGGGTTCGGGAAGGGGTCCACCGGAACGGGAATTAGAGGGTTCGGGAAGGGGTCCACTGGAATGGGAAGGGGAGGTTTCGGGAAAGGGAGAGGGAGTATCGGGAGGGTACATTGAAGAGAATTCTTCTGATGGTTTTTCAAATATCTTTTTATAGCTTCATCGGCCGATGTGCACGGAGTCTCGATGGTTTCCATTATCGCTGACTCCGGGTGAAGCTGAGACGCTATGTCCAGAAGTCCCGTCTTGCAAAAACAGGCGAAATTTTCGCAATTGTTGCTGTACAAATTGTACAAGTCCCACAAGTCGGATCTTTCGACGAAATACTCTGCCACCTTCAGCGTCTCATCGGGAGGCATAGCGTCGACTCTGTGACAGCTGCCAATCTCCGATTCTGCTCTCTCTTTGACAGAGATGTCAGAGTTGTACTCTACAATCTCAAGAGTGTCACTTCCCGTGAAATCTGAGAGGGTTCCGCGCATTATTCGTATGAATCTGGAATTGATCGAGTCTTTCCTTGGGTATCCTGCCGGACTCGAGTCACTCGCAAAGTGGATGACATTACCGTCGCCAACGTAAATCCCATGGTGACTGTAGAGGTCTGCTGCGCTGTCTCTATCGCAGTAAATGTGGTCTCCAGGCGACAGGCTGTGCTTCACTCGTCTCGGGGTGTCCGATGGCATGGGGCGTGGCATGGGGCGTGGTCCTCCCTTAGGTCCCGGGACATCCTGTGACGCCATGTCAATGTGGACTTAGACTGATGCTTGACTGAATGCAGAGGAGCCTTTATAGACAAAGGGACCTACTATAGAAGGGGCGACAAAAGGGGGGACACCAGGGAAATCCCCAGGGGAATACTCCAAACTGCTACACCACATGATGAACGAAGATGTGAGTTGGCACATCAGCAGATGTGCACTATCATACTAATCAGCATTCTGGGGTCTAACTATTATCAACATGAACTTGGCCCTTACTCCCTGTGAAGTTTTTCTACTTTACTGTACTAGAGTATTAAATTTTGGCGAGATAGGGATAAGTGCTGCAAGATAGAAGATGTAACCATTCCATACTCCAACTGTAGTCAAAGTATTAAGGATAGTTGGTTTGTCTCTTTCTCCAATCTTGTGCCAACAAAAAAAGCAAAATTGTTGACACCTTTATTTGAGGTTTGAGGGGATAGAAAATTTGGGCGAGATAGGGATCAATGCTGCCAGATAGAAGATGCCATACTCCAACTGTAGTTAAATCTCGGCGCGCATGCGCAGCGAGGGTTACAGTACTTGGTTTGTCTGTCTGTCTGTCTGTCTGTCTGTCGACGCCTATTCTCACACTGCAGGCTACAAGGCGGCCAATGAGCTCAATACACATTCCTTCCAGATATTAACAAACAGATGTTCATTCCCATCATACACACACATCACTGTAACATTGTCACATTTGGTATCTCTTCGTCTTAGTTTTCATCTAACTGACCTTATTGTAGAAGCCGTAAGTGACGGCATTTGGCTGAATGCCTGCCTTCACCATCTCATTGTAGACCTTGACCGCCAGAGCCGGCCGCCCTATCTCGACACACTGCTCCATTAATACTCTGTAACACACCTACATATATGTACCACAGATAATTAACATTGAACATCTCTACAATAATTTTTTCTTTTTTTTTCTTTTTTTTTTCTTTCTTTTCTTTTTTTTCCTTCTTGTATGTGTTTGTTCTATGAAAGGTTTAGTTGGATGGTGAGAGAGAGAGTAGAGTGATGTACGTACGTGTAGGTCATCTTTGGCAACACATAATCAGCTCTATTTACCACACATCACGTGGTTTCGAGGGGTGTTCGTGAACAATAAAGTAAAAACGAAAAACTGTACAAATTCTCACCCAGCCATGCAGTCGCAAAAATAAGTAAAGTAGTAAATGACGGCATTAGGCTCGGTTCAAAATATGTCACATTGCCCCGTCTTACCGTGCCGCATTGCCGCGTCGCAAGGATAGAACCAAATTCTATATTTGCAGCATGGCACGACGGGGCAATGAGATAGGTTGCGAACCTAACCTTAGGCTAAATTGACCATTTACTTAATGACATTGACTGCTGGAGTCAACAGTTGTCGAGGGTGAAGAGTAGCTAACCTCGTCACGAGGGAGAATGTTTGCTTTTCTCATGTTCTCCAGCAGCTCCAGAGCTTGTGAGATAACTCCCATCTTGTTCCACTGGGTGCCCAGGTGGGCTGGCAACAAGACGTACCTGACAAGAGGAGGGAGGGCAATACAGATCATACATACCTCCTTTCAAGAGGAGGGAGGGGATATATCATACATACCTCCTTTCTCTTTCTTTTTTACTCTTATAAACGTTCAATTCCCTCCACTGCTTAACACTTAACCAGCCGCGGAAACATAATGTGTCCATAAGAATTTATATGGGGTTATAATACTAGGCGCTATATAATACTTCATACATCTACCGTTAGCGAGTTTGAGGAGTGAAGAAGTAATTATAAAGAGAAGTGCCTGAGGCTATTTGTTGTTGTGGTCGTCGTGGAATCAATTTCTGGTTATTTAAGCAGATCCCCATGGCGTCCGAAGGGCTAAAGAGTTGGACTGACCAGAGAGAGCAGACGTGAGAGAGAAGAACACGAGACCACATCTCGTCACTCTTCTTGGCTTGCTCCAGGGCCTGCAGTGGGAGGAGATTGTAGATACGAATCAAATATATTTTGGGGAGCCAGGATGAACAGTTTGATTTTCGTGCCTATTTTAGAATGGCGTTCAAATTTTTTTATTCGCCCGTTTCTGTCAGTTCTTGTGTTTGTGTTTGGCTAATACTTAAAGGCATAAAACCTTATTTTGGGTGTATTTCCAGCTGTTTTGTGTAAATTTAAGTCCTATCATTAGCTCCAGAGTGCATATTCTCTCTTCTCTCGTTCATCTTCTTCTTCTCTTTCTTCTCTCTCTCACCCCCCCTCTCTTCTACCCACCAGTTTATCTCTATGCTTCTCAGCTCGTGTCCTCTTAGCCACGGAAGGCGACCCTGGCAGTATGCTGCAGAGCGACGGACTGCGAGCCCGTTTCATTCCGGTACCGCCCCGGGACGACATGAGGGTGGGGTTGAGGGTCGGGAAGACAGGGTAGGTGTAGGTCTGGTTTGGAACCAGGCCGGTGGCGTCTGGAGGAATAGCCACAACTGTGGGAAGGTCCGACCGCCTGCAGGGGGAGATTCCTTACTGTTGAGATGGAGAGGAATTGAAATCACGCAAAACATCACGTTATGTGCAGTGCCCGTGACAATAATCACTGTTCCTTCCTGTTTAAATGTAACACATTTTGGGGAGCAAAACAAGTCAACTACACCCAGGACAGCTATTAGTTGCCCTGGTTCGGATTTGAACCCACGACACTCTGCAGTCTGTTTACATGTAACACATTTTGGGGAGCAAAACAAGTCAACTACACCCAGGACAGCTATTAGTTGCCCTGGTTCGGATTCGAACCCACGACACTCTGCAGTCTGTTTACATGTAACACATTTTGGGAGCAAAACAAGTCAAACTACACCCAGGACAGCTATTAGTTGCCCTGGTTCGGATTTGAACCCACACACTCTGCAGTCTGTTACAGTAACACTTTTGGGGAGCAAAACAAGTCAACTACACCCAGGACCGCTATTAGTTGCCCTGGTGTCGATTTGAACCCACGACACTCTGCAGTCTGTTTACATGTAACACATTTTGGGAGCAAAACAAGTCAACTACACCCAGACCTATTAGTTGCCCTGGTTCGGATTTAACCCACGACACTCGCTGCAGTCTGTTTACATGTAACACATTGGGGAGCAAACAAGTCAACTACACCCCAGACAGCTATTAGTGCCCTGTTCGGATTTGAACCCACGACAATCTGCAGTCTGTTTACATGTAACACATTTTGGGGAGCAAACAGTCAACTACCACCAGGACAGCTATTAGTTGCCATGGTTCGGATTCGAACCCACGACACTCGGCAGTCTGTTTACATGTAACACTTTTGGGTAGCAAACAGTCAACTACACTACAAAACCCCGGACAACGCTATTAGTTGCCCTGGTTCTGGATTCTAGACCCACGTGCCCTCTGCAGGCTGTTTACATGTAACACACTTTTTGGGAGCAAAACAGTCGTAACTACACACTACACCCAGACAGCTATTAGGTTGCCCTGGTTCGGATGTGAACCCACGACAATCTGCGTCTGTTTACATGTATACACATTTGTGAGCAAAACAGGTCACAGCTACACCCATGACGAGCTATTAGTTTGCATGGTTCGGATTTGAACAACCACGACACTCTCGCAGTCTGTTACATGACACGCATTTTGGGAGCAACAAGTCAACTCCACCAGGACAGCTATTAGTGCCCCTGGTTGCGGATTGAACCCACGACAATCTGCAGTCTGTTTACCTGTAACACATTTTGGGGAGCAAACAGTCAACGACTAACACCCAGCCAGCTATTAGTTGCCATGTTCGGAATCGCAGCCCACGACTGC